AAAAAAAAAAAAAAAAAAAAATAAAAAAAAAAAAAAAAAAAAAAAAAAAAAATAAAAAAAAAAAAAAAAAAAAAAAAAAAAAATAAAAAAAAAAAAAAAAAAAAAAAAAAAAAATAAAAAAAAAAAAAAAAAAAAAAAAAAAAAATAAAAAAAAAAAAAAAAAAAAAAAAAAAAAATAAAAAAAAAAAAAAAAAAAAAAAAAAAAAAAAAAAAAAAAAAAAAAAAAAAAAAAAAAAAAGAGTAAAATATAAATTAAAAAAAAAATAAAGCAAAAAAAAAAAAAAATAAAATAAAATAAAATAAAATAAAACTTTGTAAAAGGTAATAAAGACTATAGAAATAATATATATATTAAAAAGAAATATTTACATTAAAAAAATTTTCAAAAATGTCTCACATAAATTAGAAAAATGTTATCTCAAAAAAATGAAAGTGAAAAAGAAGGTTTATTAAAGAAATTTAAAAAAATATATTTCGAAATTAGAAAGAATTGAAAAAAAAGTTTATATTCATAGTATTTGTTATAAAAAAAAAAAAAAAAAAAAAAATTAAAATAAAAAAAAAGCAAAAGAATTAAATAAAAAAATAATAAAGGTGAAGATACATAAATCTAAGAATTCAAGGAAAAATGATAAATGAAGACAACACATTTATATCTGCTGAAAATGTTATGAATGATATATATGTATTAAACATAAATAAAAATATTGATATAGATATTATCCAAGAAGGGTAACAACTATAAATATATATATATAATAATTAAAATTATAATATATATAATACTTGGTTGTATAAATTTTTTTAATATTTGTAGATTACTTAAAAAAGTTATAGGAGATGAAGATTCTAATAGCATATTATTTTTAGAAGAAAATAGCAATTCAAAGCATGAATTAACAATACTTAATATAAGTTTAAAAGTAGACGAAAAAAATTATATTCCTAACAAGCAAGAGTTAAGATATACTGATATTGAAGTAACTATTGATTTTAATAAAAAAGAATTCATTTACAGCTTAGATAATTCAAAATTGCATAAATGTCATTATTTTAAACTAAAAAATAAGTTAGATTGTATTACTAAAGAAAAGTTAAATTTTAAGGAAAGTATTTTATATTTGTATAATACTATCAATGATAAAAAATTTATGAAATGCCCCTGTTGCATAAGTGAAGATAGCCTTACGTTAAATGTTGAAAACAGAACGCAACTCTTGCATCATAATGAAAATAATTTAAAAAATCAAGATAATGAAAAAAATGATGTTAAAAAGTCTATGATAAAAGATAAGTGCATAGATGAAAAAGATGCGATTGAACAAAAAAGTATATCATTTTTAAACAAAAATATACAGTCTAATGATATATTATCATCCTTTGAAACAAATATATATTCAAATAATGAAAAAAATGAACTAAATCAAAAAAAACAATGTAAATCTTATTATTCTAAGGGAACTCCAAATGAAATAATAAAATGTGAATATAATAACATAAAAAATATTAATGAAACTAAAAAAGAAAAGAACAAAGAAAAAAATCATTTAAAGAGAATACATGAAGATATAGATTTTTTGGAAAGTAAAGAAATAAATGAAAATGGATATGAATTAAAAATTTGTAATAAAGAAATAAATAAAAAAAATGATAAAGTGCTATTTTCATTAGAAGATGCTGAAGAAATAAGTAATTTTCTTAAAGATAACATAAATAAGAAAAACGAACCAAATAATATAATTGTAGAAAAAAGTGAAAAAGATATAAAAAAGGTTGAAGAAAAAGAAGAAGAAGGAGAGGAAGAAAAGAAAAAAAAAAAAATAATGAAAAATATAAATGAAAGTATACCTTTAACAGTTATGTTGTCCAATAAAGGAAATGAAATATGCAAGAAAATAATTGAAAAATATTCAAGATATTACAGGGATTTTATAGAAGAAAAAATTTTAGGTTGTGGGGGATTTGGATATGTAATGAAGGTAAAAAACAAACGATTTAACATTACGTATGCATTAAAAAAAATAACTTTAAACAATTATAAAAAAGGAAACTATATGAATACAAATTTTGATATTAATGAGAATGAGAATAATAGCTATATAATGGAGGAAGCAATCATGATTGCAAAATTACAACACGAAAATATTGTAAGGTATTATGATGCTTGGGTAGAAAACAATATTGATTACTATTTATATAATGAAGTATTAAATAAAAATGAGAATAGGAAGAATAAAAAGAAAGATATTTATATGGAAGAAATAAAAACTTTATGTAATTATTATAAAAAAAATAAAGTTACGAATATTAATGATAAATATTTATATATACTAATGGAATATTGCCCTGGAAAAACTTTAAGAGAAGCAATAGATTGTGGTTTCATATATAAAAATGAAAAACTAATATGGGAATTGATTAAACAAATTCTAAAAGGAATAGCATATATACATGATATGAAAATAATGCATAGAGATATAAAACCATCCAATATTTTTTTACAAATAAGTGATAATATCCTAACAGCTAAAATTGGAGATTTTGGATTAACAACAAAAATTGATAACAATAAAATAAATCCATCAGCAGGAACAGTTCACTATATATCACCTGAACAATTAAATGGAGAACATTTTGATCAAAAGGCTGATCTTTTTTCTTTAGGTGTAGTGTTTTTTGAGATGTTTCATGAACCTTTTTCTACTTCAATGGAAAGATCGATTGTTCTATCTAATTTATTAAAAGGTATATATCCTGATTATATGAAATCAGACCATAAGAAATTTCAATTTTTATCTAGTCTATTAGCTATAAATCCTCAAGACAGATCTTGTGCTTATAGTTTACTACATGATAACTTTCTTTTTTCTTTTGAAAAGGACTTTACAGAAATTTATAATTTGGTAGAAAATAAAAGAAATTGTGAGGAAGTTCATACAATTATTAGTACTCTATTTGATAAGTTTGACAATATGAAAGAAGAAAAAATAAAAAAAAAAGAAGATTTATTAACCTTTCAAACTGCTAAAGTATTCACTGAAGATACAGAAATAAAAAAAAATATTAAAAAAAAAATTATTAAATCACTTAAAAATAGAGGTGCTATTTTTATAATTACTCCTATCATTTTACTAAATAAGTATTATATAGATTTTGACAATACTTTTATTGATGAATATAATAGTTCATATGTAAATAAAAAAAAAGAAAATAAAATAGCCAATATTTATGTTAATACAAATAAAAATAAAAACTATAATAATTTGTTCTATATGTTAGATATATATGGAAATACTATTACTTTACGTTTTTCGTTTTTTTTATCTTTTTCGGAATATATATATGAAAACATTGAATCCTATAATAAATATAATGAAGCTAATTTTTTTTTAAAATTTTATACATATGGTTTTACATATAAAAGCCAAATAATAAAAAATAAGCAAATAAAAAGGGATCTTAATTCAATATATCCAGAAGAGGTAGAAAAAATATTTTACTGCATTCTAATAAGTTCTAAGAATATTTATGGGCAAGAAGAATTAAACTATCTTTCTATATTTTCCAATGCAGATATAATAGTATCTGTTTATAGTTTATATAATCACATATCCTACTTTAATAAATTGTTGTTTGTATGGTCTTATATAGATTTACTACCCGTAATATTAAATGAATGTTTTGAAGTTCCTGAAGATGTATCTTATGAATTAAGTATTCATTTAAAAAAAAATTCTACCATATTAGTTAATAAATCATCAATTAGTGCTATAGTTCAGAAATATAAAACAATTGATAATATATCAAAAATATCAGATTATATATTCAATTTATTTCAATTAAAATGTGAAAATAACAAGGTAGATGAATATTTAAACACTTTAAATAAATTTATATTAAATATATTAAATAAAAAGGATACACTTTTAAATAGTAAAAGTAGTACTACTTATATGGATATATCAAATGTTAGTAGTAGTTTAGCTAAAGTATCATGTGACATTTTAAATAAGAATAATAATTTCCATGAAAATAAAGATGAAATAAATAAAATGAAAATTTTTTTATTATTAGACAAGGTAAAAAAAATTAACAATTTTATAGGAACAAGTTCTATAATAGATAACACATGTTTTGACTTATTTTTAAATTATGAGGAAACTGTATTTTCAAATGAAATTATATTTTATGTGATATCTGAAAGCAAAAATAAAGATATAATAGCTTATGGAGGGAAATTTGATAAAATCATTCAAAATATGAATAGTAATAATAAAAACTTATTAAATATAAAAGCATATGGTGTGGAAATTAACTTAGAAAAAATATATTTAAAAGTAATAGAATCAACTGAAAAATTATCATTTAATATCCAATCAAATGCAACATCAGAAAAGTCACAGATCTTCAAAAATTTTTTCTTATCAGTTGATCAGAATAATTTTGCATGTACAAATCAGTTGATTCAACCGTCATTAAGTAATCATCTTAATTATTCTTCCCCAAAAGTTTTAATTCAAGTATACGAAATAACAAACCTATTAATTGCATACGATTTATCAAAAAAATTATTAAGTAAAAATATATCATCGTATACCTATTTTTCTCTTAATGCAAATTTAAAAAAAAAAATGAAAAATTTTAAACCAAACAAAATTCAATTTGTTATAACAATCAAATCTAATAGTAATGATACCTCATTTAATCCATTAAATCCCATAAAATTTAATGAAGTTATATATAAAGTGTTTAATGGTAATAATCAAGAGTATAATTATATGCAACAAGATGAATTAATAAATTACATAATTAAAAATATATAGTTATGGTTCTAAAATAAATAAATGTTTAAATATATATAATTATTAAATTTCTTAATTCTGTATATAAATATAAAACGTAATTTTTAATAAGTATCTTGGATTACTTTTGGCTAGAAGTACATAAAATATGTTTTCGCTTTTTTTTTTTTTTTTTTATTAACAATATCTCATTGATTGATTTTTATGGTTATGATATATATGTATTATTAATTATTTTTCTTTTTATAACTTTTTAAAATTACGTATTTGTAATTCAACATATATGAATATCCTCATTTTTAATATATGTGTATCTTTTCTTTTTTTCTGTTTATTTATATATATATATATTTTTTTTTTTTTTTTTGTTCTTTTTATACTTTTTTATTTTTTAAGTGTATCTCTATTTTATTTTAATTTATTTCGTTTCATCTCTTTTTATTATTCTTTTTCTTTTTTTTGTATTCATTTATATGTTTGAATATACTTAAAATAGAAAAATGTATATTTGACTCAATAAATTCTACAAATTCAATTTTATTGTTTTTTTTTTTTTTTTTAAACAAGTGTCTATTTTTTCTATCATTCTTTTTTCATTTTGTTTTTTTCTTTTATTATTAAACTTCTATTAAAGCATATAATATGTTTCTCTAAGAAAATTATATAAATATAAATGAAATATAATTCCAATTTTACTATTATATTATATGTACGGTTTTAAAATTTTTTATTATCACTATTATTATTATTATTATTACTTTTAATGATCAAAAAGAGTATGCATTTTTTATGCTCTCTATATATTCTTCTGATTTCATTTAATTCATATTATTCAAAGGTAAAATAGTAAATATAACATAAGTTAATTCAATAAAATATTCTATATCACACATTTTCTTGTATTTTTTTTATAATTTTAATTATTAAGATAACTTCACAAATATTAAGGTGAGAATTTATAAACATTATTTATTTTTTTCATTTCGCTTTTTATATTTTGGCCAGTTTGATTACTTGTAGTACATGATATTTTAATTTTTAAAAATTGTTTTTAATACTACTTGTAATATATAAATAAAAAATGCACTTGAAAAAAAAAAAAAAAAAAAAAAAAAAAAGTAAAAAAAATGTTATAAATATCTTGATATAAAAAAGAAATACTTATGTAAGAATTCACAATATAATAACGCATAGAAGAAAAATAAAAAACAAGAGAAATTATTTAAAAATGCTTCTTATTGTAAATTTTATTTCTCTTTTCTTTTTTAATGAAACATAAAATATAAAAAATGATCACTGAATTAGTAAGTCCACCATCAGATACAATAAGTGACGCTTCTTATAAAAACAACATTCTAATTATATCATCATGGGATAAAGTAACAATTTAATTCAATTATAATAAAATAAATTACAAAAAAGAATGAAATAGAAAATTATAAACATATGAACTATTTATAATAATATTTTTTTTTTATCATGTTCATAGCAAATATTTTATATATATATATATATAACTACCTTAGTACCTTAATGTACATAATTATGGATAATAGCAAATGTGTATACTATTTGTATATTATTTTATTTTATTTTAGAGTTTACAATTTTATAATACAAAAGAAAATAAGCTGTTAAAAAAAATAATAACAAACACACCAATACTTAGTCACACATGCATTAATGATAAAATTATTTATGGGGGATTAGATGAAATTCTATATTCATACGATTTTAATAAAGACATTATTGTAAAGTTGTATAGACATAAAAATGTTATTAATAATATATGCTATCAAAAATCTTCAAGTAATAAAAAAAAAATTAAAGTAATTTTACTTTTCATTAAAAAATTTGATACATTAATAAACTATTATTCTAATTGTATTCTTAAAAAGAATTATTATGTTTATTTCATATTAATATAATTTTTTTTTTTTTTTTATATTTATTATTTTGGTTTTTTTTTTTTAAAATGTACATATAAAAATATATTATCTGCTTTTTTTTATTTAACTTAGCTTTTTTAAATATATATATATATATATATGTTTATATTAAATTCATTACATTAGTTTATCAAAACAGTTATAAAAAGATTTTATAAAAAATTTCCTTTTTTTTTAAGATTTTCTATGTGTGTCTGACTGGAATAAAGGTTTGAATATATTTGATGATAGAACTAAAAATGGTTTAATTTGTGAAATCTCTACTTTTGGTTTAATATGTTCAATGGATATAAACGAAACAAAATTATTAGCATGTGATAGTCTAAAAAGAGTAAAAGAAAAAAAAGATTACCAATATACTAAAAATTTTATACTTTTAAAAATAAGTAAAATTTTTTTTTCACTTAATTTTAATATATAAATTTTTATTTTTTCCTTGTTTCATAGACATATATATTTGATACACAGAAAGGAATAGACAGTTTTCATAATCCATATTATAAAGAGTATAAATATTACATATTTTTATAATATTATGTCACACTTTAATTTCTCTAATTTTTTTTTTTTTTTTTTTTTTTATATTTAGCAACATATTACGCTATCAATTTAGATGTATAAAAGCCTTTCCTAATCAAAAAGGATTTGTTGTATCATCAATAGAAGGAAGGGTTGCTTGGGAACTTTTTGATAACAATCCATCTGTTCAATCAAAAAATTATTCATTTAGATGTCATAGAATAAAAACAGATGAATCAGAAGTTGCATATCCAATTAATACAATTGATTTTCATCCAATGTTAAAAATAATACACAATTAAAAAAAAAAAATTCATTTAACTTATTTTAATTTTTTTTTTTTTTTTTTTTAAAGATATGGAGCATTTTGTACAGGAGGTTCTGACGGGATTATGTGTGTATGGGATGGTTATAACAGGAAAAGAATATGGAGAACTCAGAATTTTAAAAATGAGTAATTTTATATTTTTTTATATTCATATTTATCTAAAGATTTTATTTTATAATTATTTAAATTTGATTAATTTTTCTTTATTTTTTTTTTTTTTTTTTTTTTTTTTAAAGAATTACAAAAGTAAAATTCAACAATGAAGGTGATGAAATTTGTATTTGTGTTTCATCTTATTTAAAAAATTCAAATAATCCAAACGATAAAATGAATTCAGTAATTATTCGTAAAGTAACTGATAAAGATGTTAAGCCAAGTTAACACAAAAAAAAGTAAAAATAATGTTTCTTTAAAGCTCTTCAAAATTTTCATTTTCCTTTATATGTTTAATGGCCTAATAATAAAAAAAAAAAAAAAAAAAAAAAAAAAAAAAAGTTTTATATTATTATTTATTTTTATTTAAAATATATGTGAGTTTAATATGTGTGTAATACTTAATTTACATCTTGTTAAATTATCTTACCAAAATAGAATATTCAGGTAAACATGTATCTTTATCATCTATGTACATAAATTTTCTCAAAACATCAATACCTTAAAGAAAAATTAAAATAAAGTGTGTGCATATTTTATACCTTTTTATTATACTTTTTTTGTTTATTAATACATATATATGTAAGTTTATTTTATATAATTACTTTTTTTGTGTATTTACCATTTATCTTTTTGACATAATTTGAAATAATGTTATCTGAAGAAAAATTTGCTACAGCACTAATAATATATCTATTTAAAATAAATTTGTGATAAAGAATTTCCTGTTTTTCTAATATATGACTGTTTCTCATTTTTGATATTGTTTTTAAATAAACAAAAATGATATCAATAAAATTTTTTTTTTCTTCACATGACAAGTAGTCTAACTCTTCATATCGATCACTGAATATATTAGAAATAAATAAAATAAGTTTAAAATTTTCTAAAATAAAATTTTTTCTGTAATAAATGAACATATCCATAAATAAAATATTTTTGTTATATAAATCTATATGTGAAATGTCAAAATTATCAAAATAATTTATTTCATTAATATAAATTAAATTATTTTTGATTTCTTCAATTATAGTTCTGTATAAATTTTGGTATTTAGAAATTTGTTCATTATCTAAATTTTTCTCATCTAGAATATTATATAAAGTTTCAAGAACTAATCTAAACATTAATGCAATATATTTTAATAGATAATACTTATTCTCTTTCTTATTTATAATTTTCCATTTTTTTAACATATTTGAAAATAAAAAATTTTCCTTTAATTTTTTGATATATTCAAAAAAATCTGTATACAATTTCTTCAAATTTTCAAAAATATTTAAAAATAGTTTATTTTCATATTTTAGTGAATTTTCAATAAAAACATAAAAATAATTACAAATATTTATTTGATTTTTAATTTTCTTCAAAGAATCAATAACTGACAAAAAAATAAGTAAAGAAAGATCGTTCAATTTATTTAACAATTCATATGTTTTTCGGTTTATTATAAAATTATTCAGAAGCATAAATATATTGTCCATATTACTTTTGTTTAAAATAATATAATAGACATAAGAAGGGTAAAGAAATTCAAATATTTCTTCATTTTTTTCATTGTGTGTTATTAAATTAATTAAAAATATTAACTCATATTTATCAACCTCATAAATTAAGTATTCATTTAATTTGTTAACAGAACTTACGTTTGAACTTTTGTTTAAATTGTTACATGGCTCTTCACTTAAATTATTTGAAATATTAAAACTTTTACCTAGTAATAAAAATTTATAAATTTTCTTTTCTGTTATTTTTTTTTTTAATGAATCATTAAAAGGTATATAAAAGATAAGAATTTTTAGTGCTTTTATATAATTATTTAGATTTTCTTTATTCTCTTTTTCTACTTCAATTTTATTTTTACAAACTATTAGCAAATAAATTATTTTATCCTCTTCATTTTCATCTAATTTTTTTACATTGTTTTTAAAATTGTAATGTTTTTCAATAATCTCAAACTCATCAAACTTTTCTAAGGACATGATAAATAACTTTATGATATATTTTTAATTAAAATTTATCCTTTATAATAAATTAGTTACCTTTTTTTTTAATTAATTTTTTTTCTTTTAATTATTTTTTTTTTTAACTATCTTCATATATCTATATATAAATATATATTTACTTTTTTATAATTTTATTGCTTTTATATTTTTTTTTTTTTTTTTTTTTTTTTTAATTGTTATATATGCATAAAAATATATCTTTTTTAAACATATTTTTTGTGCTCAATCTTTTTTTAAATATGCATTTATACATTTTATATATATTTTTTTTTTTTCTATTAATAAACTTCAACATTTTTTAAACAGCTGATAAATTACTTTATTATTACTTAAGATGTTTATTAAAAAGAAAAATTCGTTCTTATGCAACTTTACTCATTTTTATAAAAATAAAAATTTCAAAAAAATATATTTTTCTAGTAATATAAAAAAGACAAATGTTTCAAATACAAAAAAATTCGAAGAAAATTTAAAAGATGAAACAGAACCACCAGATTTATTAAATATACCTGATATTAATGATTGGTAAACTATTATAAAAAAAAAAAAAAAAAAAATGAACTATGCATATAAAAAATTATTTACATTTATATATTTTTTTACATGTAATTTAAAATTTTTATTTTATGCTTAACATATTTATATAATTTCCATTTTTAAAACTTTTTTTTGTGTATAAATTTAGTTGTAAAAGCGGGTGTGATAACTGCATATTTGGTAATTAATAAAATATAGAAGAAAAAACATAAAAATAAAATAAAATTACACTTCCTTTACCTAAAACATGTTATATCTTTTTTTTTTTTTTTTTAAATTAATCAGATATATATTATGAGAAAATGGAAAAATTTCAAACATATTTAAAATGTAAAAGGAAAAAAACTAAATAGTTTTTTCCAAGAAAATTTTTTATTTTTTTTTTATTAATATTAAAATTTTAATAATAAAAAAAAAAAAAAAAAGGTAGCAATATAACAAAAAGAATCAATTTTTATATATTTTTTCTTGTTTAAAAAAAAAAAAAAAAAAAAAAAAAAAAAAAAGCAAATACATTAAATAAGAAAAGGAAAAGTAACAGTCATATTCCATGTCCTCTTACTTGTGGATATTCGTTTAATAACTTATCCTTCTGTAGATGAAAAAAAAAATATATATATTTAATTTATATGATTAAACGAAGGAATATTTTCGTATATTTAAAATATATAATAAAAATCTGCTAATAAAATTATTAAGACAGAAAACAAATATGCAAATGATATATATAAAAATAATCCTTTACAACTTTCTTTTTTTTACCTCAGGATCGTAATCAGGGAATTCTTTAATCAAATCAAAAATGGCTTTCCTTGTTTTATCCATTAATTCTTGATAAGTCATACCAGGGGTAGGATAAAATGGCTCTCCAAAAGAAAAATACATAGTTCCTTTATCTAATAATTTAGATTTAATAGGCCATGCTTTATTAGAACCATGTAATGCACATGGTAATATTTCACAATTATTCTCAATTGCAAATTTAAAGAATCCTGATTTAAATAATTGTAATTGACCACTTAGAGATCTTGTACCTTCTGGGAATACTGCAATCCCAATTTTTAAATCACTATATTCTTTGCAAGTTTTCATAAGTTTTTCTTTGCTTTCAGGTTTTACTTCCCATCCGCCTCTTCCTTTACTAAAATAAACTGGAATATCTCCCGATAGATACAAAGACTGGCCAGCTATAGGTATTCTAAATAATGTACTTTTAAAAGCAAATTTCATCTCCCATGGTAATATGCATGATGTAATTACCCATGGATCCACAGCAGATAAATGATTAATAAATAATAAAGTTTTAGTAGGCTTATAATTTTTCTTACATTTTCTTATTACCTTTACTTTCCAAAATGGATTCAATGGAGAGCATACTATAATAAAAAAAAAAAAGAAATTAATATATATATATATATATATATATATATATATATATATATATTATATAATATAAAGCCATCAGAATGAAAAAAACTTGTTCTAATATATTTTATTTTTTTCTTTTTCTATTTATTTTTTTTAATGATGTTCAAATACAACTGTTAATTCATGTAGTTTTATGTTTATCGTTACGTTTAATATATCTTCCATTTTTTTTTCAAATGTTTTTCTTTTTATTTTTTCTCATTTGTAATTTAACGTTTTTTTTTTTTTTTTTTATTTACCAAAATAACAACAACATTTAAAAGAAGCTCCTAATATTATTAACCTAATTCTTTTGCTATATATCAACAATGGTAAAAATAATACACAAGATATAAGTTGAAAACATAGTGATATTACTAATGATATTAACATTAACATAAAAATATGAAAAGATATAATTAATCTAAAATAAAAGTTAGTTTTCTGTTCTTTTTTTTCTTCATTATTTTCCATTTTTCCTAAAAAATTTAAGTTACTATAATTTTAACTTTGTACAATTTATAAGAACAGCTAGCGTAACAAATTACGTTTTAAGCCCTTTATCACAACTAAAAAGTTCACAATATACTTAACCCTAAATTGCATAAATAATTTCTACTGGAATAATCAAATAAATGTAATATAAGGAAAGGAAGAATATATTAAATGTAATTAAAAAAATACAATTAAAAAAAAAATAAAATAAAATAAACAAAGAATATGTATTATATATAGCTTTAAAATAAAAAATTTAAAAATTACACTTCACATTATATAATTCTTATTGTAGATTCTAACAAAAAAAAAAAAAAAAAAAAAATTTAATGAATATGATAATCATACATTTTCTTATATTAAAATATATTTTTTTTTTTTAATTAAAAAAAAATTTTAAATATAATCATTTTAATAAGGAATTAATAAAATTGTAAAATAGATTAATGTTTGATAAAAAAAATTATTTTAAATAATTTTTATAGTAGTAATACTATGAAAAGCAAAATTATTATTTATTTTTTTTATCATCTCCTTAATAAAAGATTTTAAGTATAAATTACAAATGAAAAGAACATTGAAAACTTAAAAATGAATATACTTATAATTACGTGTTTTTTAATAAAGATTTAATATGAGATTTTAGAAATTTTTATATATACAAAAAAAAAAAAAAAAAAAATATCATTAAAAAATATGTAGAATTTACATATTTTTTTTTAATAGCATAATAGTTTAAAGAATTATCTAGCACTATCTTTACTTTTTTAAGTTTATAAATATATTATTATATAAAAAAAGTATTATTTTCATTGTGTATTAATGAAAATATAACTATTTTTATGCATTACTTAAAATTACACTAAAAAAAAATTAAATTGAATATAATGAAAGTTTGTTTTTTGTATTTCTTTTAATGCATATAAAATCGAGATTTTTTTTTTTTTTTTTATTTTTTTTTTTAATTTGTAAGAAAAAAAAAAGAATTAAAGAATTGTATTAATAATCTTAAAAGTTTTTCTTATGAAGATGTTAAATTTTTTTAAAATATCCCAAGAAATGTATATTGTTTATAATATTTAATAACTTAGACAATTATATTTTAATATAGCTAAAACATGAATTATATAATATTTGATTTTATATTAAATGAAATTTTTAAATATTTCATAAGAGTTTTTGTAATTGTTTAAATTTTAAGTTACTTTACATTTTTCCACCCTTTTTATTGCTTTCAGCTCTGAAGCAAAAAAAAAAAAAAAAAAAATATATATATAAGAATATTATGTATTTAAATATTATATATATAAATATATACAATTTTTACTTAAATTTGTGAATTCTTTTTTTTTCATTGTCTAAATATTCCCTTAAATAAATTTGTTTTTCTACCCCTGATTCATCTTCATATTTATCACCAAAAATTTCTTGAACTTCTAAGTCCATTTTTTCTCTACCAAAACGTACATATAAAATTTGTAATGTTTTTTCAACAGTTATATATCCATTCATTTCATAATCAAACATAAAAAACTGAATAATATTATATAAGTCACTTGGAACCTGCTTTTTTTTATCATTAACACATCTTAAATATAAAAAATAAATTTCATCATAATCTAAACAATTATCCATATTATCATCAAATTCCCATATCATCCTTTCTACCTCACTCTAATAAAAAAAAAAAATAAAATAATAATTTATTAATGTAATATGAGCAATTAGTAAAAGTAGTAAGACAAAATCAAAGTGTAAGATTCTATAAAAATTTATAAAAAGAATATTAAGTAATAAAATGAAAAAGTTACTAAATAATTTAGTGATGTCAAAAAAATAATAAAATAAAAATATTGATTTATATAACTTTATATATTTAAAGTTTATACTTACAAAATTATAAACTATTATGTTACTCTACTATATTTCATTATATTTTATCTAATTTTTTTTTTTTTTTATGCTTCATTTGTAAGTAGAAAAAATTTTTGTGATAATACAGCACATAGTAAAGAAAAAGAATACATCTTTCTTTAAAACTAAATTCTAATTATTATAAAATATAATAAGTAATAAACTCATATATTTAAACGCAAAAAAAAAAAATATATATATATATATATAAATAAATAATTAATTTACAAATATAACCTTTGAAATTTTGTAATTATATTTATGTAAAATATCATGTAAATTACAAACTGAAATTTTTCCTGTATTATCTTTATCCATCATTTTAAAAACCCTTTGCAAATTTTTTTTCTCTGTATTAGAAATCTTTTTTAAGTTTTTTATGTCTAATGGTGCTATATACCCATTTCCACATATATAAAAATTTGGATTCTTTTCATTATTTAATTTCTCAATTACTGGTATATATGGTTTTTCATTCATTTTTTTTTTTTTTTTTCTTTTTAATAATTAAATAAATTTTTTTTTATATTAACATATTTTTATTATAATAATAGAATATTCCATTAGTATATTATGGAAATAAAAAACCTATTAGTAAGTTCGGTGTGCAAAATGAAAAAAAAAAAAAAATTAAGTTAAAATAAAAAAGAAAAAGAAAAGAAAAATAAAAAATAAAAGATAAAAAATAATAAATAAAAAATAATAAAGAAAGAAAAAATATATCAGAAAATAAAAATAAATATTAAGTATATTCTCAATTATTGTATCCTACCATAGAAAAAAATGAAATAGAAAAATAAATAGAATTCATATTAATAAAAAAACTTCCTTTTAATAATGATATTTATTTTATTTTTATAATTAATTATTTTATTTTTATTATTTTTTTTTTTTTTTTATTAAAATAATATCCTCACTAAAAATCTTTTTAAGCACAATTAAAAAACGACATACCTATTATATATAAATATATTTATGCATCTAAAAATATAAATGCATATTAGCTCTTTTCTTTTACAAAATGCACCATGTAATAAAATTAAAATATGACATATAATTTTATTCATTAAGATTATGATATTTTAATTTTACTTTTTTTCTCAAATTAATATTAGTGCTTTTAAAATGGATTATTTTAAAACCAATAAAGTTAATAATAATAAGATATATATAAATCAAGATGATGAAAATTATACTGAACTTAACGATGAAAAGGAAAATTTTTATTTTTTGAAACCTAAAGAATTTATAAAAGATAGAGATAAAATTTTAAAAGAATTTATAAAAAAAAAAAATGATCATATCATAAAAAATAATATTGTAAAAACTAATATCTCACATGCATATTTTCAGGCCATTCCGAATATTGTTATTTTCACTTCTTATGTTCCATTTAAAAAATACGAATGTTTAGTAAATTTAAAGTAACTTTTCTTTTTAAAATTTTATTATAAATAGAACTTAAATATATATATGTAGATATTTAAAACAAATAGATATATATTTTTTTTTTCTTGATAAAAATTACTAATATAAAAAAAATATATCACTAAAAAAATTTTCTACAGAAATATAGATGTAAATGCAAGAAATCTAAAGATAGAAATAGAAGAAAATCAAATTTTTAAGATAAATTATACATCAGACATAAAAAAAAAGGTAAAAAATATAAATAATTAAATGTTTTTTTCTTTTTTATTTTTCATTTTATTTTTATATAAAATTTTCAGGTTGCACCTGGGATGATATTTAGTTTTAAAGTTTGAAAAAAATAAAAAGATTCTTTTTTATAATTTTACAAATAAAAAAAAAAAAAAAAAAAGGAATAACTCAATAAATAATTGTTTTATTAAAAATATATAAAAATATATTTATAAAATTATTATTGTTTTACTTCAGATTGAATTTTATCCTAAATCATGCGTAAATTATGAATATGATCTCGAGATTTATTCAGATGTATATATTATATATATATATATATATATATATATATGCAAAAATATGTGCATGTGTATTATATTTAAAAATTATATTTTTGATAATGTTTTATCTTCAATTTTTATCATATAAAATCACACAAATATATAAAATAAAAATTTTTTTTTTTTTATTTTATAAACAGAATAAATCTTTTATATTACCAATACGATGTATAAATAATGAAATTGTTTTAGATGTACAAGATGAAATAATTATAGACGAAACACCCATATATTTGAAAAATGAAAAAAGCATAACAATAAAAAATATAGGGAAATATGAAAATAAATTTAACATTATATTAAATCCTCCTTTTTATATTAATTCCTGTATTTATACACTTGAAGCAGGAGAAATAATAGAAGTTAGAATATTAAATAAAAAAAAAAAAAATAAAAAACAATAATATTTTCTTATATACTCTATACATTCTATCTTTTTATTTTTAAAATTTTGATTTTTTTTTATCTTTTTTTTTTATTAGTTAAAAGTTATATTTTTACCATTAGAGGATAAAATTTATGAAGATTATATGATAATAAATTATGAGAACGTAATGATTAGAATATATAGAGATCTGCAAAAATAAAATAAATTATTAAAAATATATATATATATATATATATAATAAAATGTTATAATTTAATAGGGGATAAGAACATACACAAAAATAAGAAGTAAAGGAATTATAGCTAATGTCCTTATAAAAGATAAAGAAATTTTTGTTGATGATGTTTACATAAATAAATCTAAAGAAATAAGCATTTTTATAAAAAACTTATCTTTTTTTTTATTAACTTACAACATAATAAAATATGAAGTCTTTGAATATAAATATGTATAAAAAAAAAAAAAAAAAAAAATATATAAACTATTTCTTTTGTATAATATATCAAAATAATTAAAAATTTTACAATAATAATATTATTTTTTCATAATTATATAATTTCATTATCCTTATTAAATTTTAAAGGATAATTGCTCAACAAATATAAAAGATGCTAATTTTAGAGATGAAGATAAAATTATTGAAAAAACTTTTATTACTGATAATGAATTATCGGATCAAAATATAATTGAAAATCTGTTGTACAAAAATGAAGAACCTGAATACTCTAATGGAGATAAAATTTACAGCGAAGAGAATGCTGAATATGAATTAACAAATAATGAAATAATTCCAAATGAATTGAATGAAGAATATAAAGATAATAAGAAAGGATATAATTATGAAGATAATGAAATATATAATCATAAAAATTTTACCAGAAATTATGAATCATCTAATGATTCATTTAATTCATTCTGTTGTGAAAAAAAAAAAAATAAAATAATAAATATTTATCCGAAAACCCAAAAGTTATATAATGACACAGAAACTATTATTACAGTCATTGTTAATCCTCATTTTGCATCATTTTTAAAAATAGTCTTATTTTTATTTATAAAAGGATATAAAAAAAAAGAGAAAATAGTTATATATTTAAAAAGTATAACACCAGAAATTATTATTTCAAATAATTTAAAAAAAATTGACAGTATTCTTATTAATACATGCAAAACATTATCCTTTGAGCTTATTAACAATAGTCAAATTGATGCTCACATAAAAATAAAAAAAACAGAAGATGAAAACAATGAATTTCAAATTGTGCACAATAAAATTATTATACCTGAAAAATCTCAAAAGACATTAAAAATAATATATATACCAAAAATAAGTGGACTTTTTGAGAAAACTTTTATAATTCATCAAAAATACACTAATGTTAAAAAAGAATTAAAAATAATAAGTAACTGTATATTTCCAGAAATTTTATTTGATAAAGATCATATAAATTTTAACAATGTATCACATAGTTTTAAATATGAACAAACATTTTATATTACTAATAATTCAGATTTAACTTTAAATTATACATTTAAAATTTGTGATGAATTAAAAGAAGAAATCAAAATCTTGAAACAACATGGTGAATTATGCAAATATGAAAAAGAAAAAATTCAGTTCATATTTTTTCCAAAAAAAATTAAAAAATATTTTTATGATATTGAATTTCTATTAGATGAAATTAAAACATATAAAAAAATTATACCCTTTTATGCTATTTGCAGCAGGCCAGATGTTGAAGTACAACCTAATTTCTTAAATTTAGAACAAATAATCATAGATAAAGAATATAGAAAACAAATTAAGCTAATCAATAAATCAGAAAATATTGATATAAAATATGAATTGATTTTAGATAAACAAATAAATGATGTATGCTATTTAGAAGTTTCAGAATCTGAGGGAATCATAAGTAGAAATGATTTTAAACATATAGACATTTGTATAAAAAGCAAAATAGTAGGTTATTTACTTATTGTTATTAAAATTAAAATATCAGGTTATGAAGATCTTTTATTTCTAAATATAAAAGCATATTCTGCTTGCCCTACTATAAAAATAATTCCTAGTATTATTGATTTTGAAAAATGTAATTGCTTAGAAATAAAAGAAAAGATTATTGAAATAAAAAATGAAAGTCCAATTAAAACTTTTATAAAATTATCTAATGAACTATCAATTTTCACTTATTCAGAAAATAACTTTTATATCCCACCTAGTCAATCTATATTTATTAAAATGTATGCTAAATGTATAGAGACAATAATATACCATGATACATTGAGGATAAATGTTCACCATATGAATGATGTTATTATACCAATAAAAGCCCAAGTAACTACTTATACTTTTATACATTAATCTAATTTGTGTAAAATAAATTTAAATTTATTTATTTTTTTTTTTTTTTAATCTTTTAAATTTTTTTCATGTAAATTTAATTTATTTTTACTTTGAATTTTTCTTTTTTTTTTTTTGAATTTTTTTATTATTTTGTCTAGTAGTTAGTAATTTAAATTTAGTTTTTATAAAAATTTATTACTGTTTTTAAATAATTCATGAATACCTTATTAAAAAAAACATTTATATATGTATATTTTTTTTTTTTTTACTTTAGGGTATCGGGTGCCCAATATTAATTAATGATTGCTCTATAAATTTCGAAGTAATTTACACAAATAAAAAATATTTTCATGAATTAATTATCTTTAATAAAGGAATAAATGAAAGAAACATACATTTCCTTTTTGAATCTGAAAAAAAAAGAAAAAATAAAAATGATTATGTGGAAATTTTTAATGTTACACCTAAATCTTTATCTATAAAGGGAGGTAGTGAAACAGTATGTGTTTTAAGTGCATTTAATTCAAAAGAAGAAAAATGCGAAGATGTTCTTTATGTCTTTGAAGATTTAATGAATACAAAAAAATTATCGAAAAATTTTAAAAAAATTAAAATATTATCATCTTTTATTCATCCTGAAATAGAAATTTGTGATATTTCAAGATTTGTGTATAATTTCTATGAAGTAAATATGAAAAAAGAAGATAAAGAAGAAAAAGAAGAAAATGAAGAAAATGAAATAGTAGAAAGAATTAAATATATTAAAAATTTGAATAAGTTAATGCAAGAGATTGAAGTAAAAAATTTAAAAAATGCAAATATAAAGTTCACTTTGTCCACGAAAAGTCCCTTTTTTGTAGAACCACAAGTAATAGAACTAAAAAGCAAAGAAAAAAAGAAAATTCCAATATATTTTGATATTGATTTTATGAATAATAAGATAAGTAAAATTTATGAAGAAAATTTATTAGTTAACTTTTTTGAAAACTCTAAAAGACAAAAGTATGAATTAGTTGGTGAAACTATTTATCCTAATATTGTTATGAACAAAAATGTTATAGATTTTCAATATATTTTAAAAAATTTATATGCACAAGAAACATTAGAAATTAAAAATGTATGCAATTTCAAAGTATATTTTAAATGGTATTTTGAAGAAAATAATATTAATAAAAACTTTAACGAAGTTTTTAATATAAATCCAAGTAAAGGTTATTTACTACCTTCAGAAAAAAAACTAATAACTGTTACATATAATAGTATAAATGAAAATTACTACAACATCAATAGCTTATGTGAGATTAAAAATGGTCCTGTTTATCCATTGAAATTAATAGCTGGATATTCTGAAATTAAATACAGTATAAATAAAAAGGAATTGAATTATTATGTTCATTACAAATCAATTGGTGAAGATTTTTTAACTATACAAAATACGGGGAAAATCAAATTATTTGTTGAAATAATATATACTATAAAATTCCCCTCTATTTTATATACAAATATAAATAATTTTTTTATTGAACCATATAATAGTAAAGACATTATTTTTTACTTTATACCAGGATTACCTTTAAAGATAAGTGAGAATATTTTAATAAAAATTTGTAATTTTGAGGAAATTAAAGTAAAATTAAATTCAAATAACTTTTGCAATATATTGCATTTAAATGTTGATAATATTAACAACAATGAAGTTTATAATATAAGTAATTCTTCACAAGATGAAATTCGCTCTGAAACATCACAACAAATTATAGAAAAAGAAGAAACTAAAAATGAAGATTTAAAAAATTTAGATGATTTAATTAATAATACTTTTCTATTTGTTGATGAAGATTCAATTTATGAAAATCAGAGAAAAACGCTAACAAAAAAGCTAAAAAAAGTATATTTAAGTATTTTTTTATCACTTAAAAAAAGTATTGAAGAAATATTAGATATCTATTATTTAAATGAAAATAATAAAAAAAATTTTGAAAAAGATGAAAGTGATAATATATATAAAACAAATGTAAAAACAGATGAAACAAGTACATGTTATAATACAAGTTATAGTGAAACAAACGCTAGTATAAAAATAAAATATAGATATGAAATTATAAACATCTTAAAAATGTATTGTTCAAAAAATAACAAATGTATATTTTTTGTTGATTTATTAAAATCATTAATACTAAATCAGAAAGATGATAATTATATTTTAAATATTTTTTCAAAGTTAAAGAAATTAGGTAAAATTATTTATTCGTATACTTTTCATTATTTACAAATAATATATATATATATATTCATATGTTCCCGAATTGAGACAATTTTTAGAAATGCATAATATAATATCTGCTTACTTCATTTTAGAATAAATATTATTATATTTATTTTTTTATTAATTAAATATTATATATAAAAAGATATATATATATATTTTTTTTTATCTTTTACAGTAAATTTTGAAAATATATCATGTCATAACTATATAAATAATGAGTATATCCTAAAATATTTAAAGAGAGTAATTTTAGAAAGTAATATTGAATTAAAAACAATTCGATTAAATATAGGGAATTTGATTATTAATGAAAGAAAAGAAAGTACTATTAACATAAAAAATGTAAGTAATGATAAAATTATATTAAATTTCAATATGAAGGAATCAGAGAGTAAAGATATAATGTTGGTGTATGATAATAATGAAATAAATAAAAATAATTCAATTAATTTAAAAATTGTGATTCAAAAAAGCTGTACAGAAGAAAAAATATTTTTAGAGAAAATATTTTTATATCTAAATGATAACAATTATTATATTATTAATGTAAAATTTAATTATATAATACCAGACATATTACTGTATTACAAACAAATAAATTTTGAAAAAGTAGAAATAAAAACCTGTCTATGCAAGGTAAATAGATTAATAAATACAAAAAAAGTTAACATTAAATTTAAAGTAAAAAAAATAATATTTTATAATAAAAAGTTGGAGTATTATCATTTAAAAAGAAAAACTCAAATTTTTATTGCACCCACTAAAGGTATAATTAAAAATAATTCTTATTTAGATATCAAAATATTTTTTGAACCATCAAATATATATAGAAATGCAAAAATAAGGATTGAAATTTTTATTTATCATTCTAATATTATAAAAACCATAGATGTTTATTTAAATAGTACAAAAGACAACGTATATGTGGATAAAAGTGATATAATTATTAAGCCGTTGTTACTTAACAGTGGAGAAAAATATGAAACAGTAAAAATATACAATATAAATAATTATTCTAAATATTTGTATATATATAAATTAGATAATTATTATAACTTCTATGAAAGTTTTATATATGACCTCTTAATTATACATAAGCATATCTACATAAAAAAAAATGATGAAAAAGATTTATTTTATGGAAATTTGATACATTATTTAATTGATATATATAAAAAAAAAATGAAAGAAATAAAAAATAATTATAAAAAGAGTAAATATTTAAATAGTGATAACAAAAATCTTCAAATTGAAAATAAACAAGATGATGAAAGGGAACTTCAAATTGAGAATACCATGAAAAATGACGAAAAATATAATAAAAATAGTTTTGATAAAGTTTCCAATGTATTAGCTAATGAAGAAAAAAATAATAGATGCAACAAAATTGATAAAGAAAAAAAGGAAGAAAAAAAAAAAACAGAAAAATATATTAACCCATTAAGTTGCTCTATATTTTCAGAGGAATATAATTCCAATGAATTGATTATAGATATAGAATACACACAAGAAAATGTTAAAGTTTTAGAAAATAAAATTAAAATTTTAGAAGAATTGAATATAAAAAATGAAGTTAAATATAACTATTTTGAAGAATATTTAAAAATAACAAAAATAAAAAAAAAAATAAAAGAAAACTATGTAATTATTTGTCCTAAATATACTGACCATAAAAAAATTGGTAGTTATCTACTTAAAAACAATATTATAAATTTTTCAAAAAAAAAAAAAAAAGAAAACAAAAATTGTGAATATGATAACTTTTTAACTATAAATAAAATAATCCACTGGTGTAATGAATTAAATGATAAAGATAGCTATCCATGTATCGTAAAAAAAAATTTTATTCATTATCTGATTTATGAAAGGAGTATTAACAATAATAACGGTTCTACTAAGCAAATATTGAATTTCACAAAAAGTATAAACGAAAATATTAAAGGTGGTGAACTAGTAAAAAATTTTGAATTTGAAAACGAAATTAGTTCAAATTACTATGTAAGTGAGCAGTTAAATGGAAATGAAAAAAAAAAAGAAAGTTTATTATATTTTTGTGAGGATAATGACAAAAGTCATATGGAAATAAAAAAGGATATATATGAAGTTAATAAAACAGAAAATATAGATGAAAATGTAAAAAAGGGAAATAAAAATAAAAATTTTAAAAAGGAAAACACTATAGGTTATGAAGAGAATAAGAAATTCATAAATATATATAAAAATAAATTTAAGAAAAAATTAACTAAAAATCACATAAAATCAAAAATAGATAATAAGCATATAACATATATTAATAAAAAAAAAGGTAATAATATTAATTCCAGTAACAAATATCATGAGGTTAGTTGTACATATGATGAAAAAACATTTTTTAATAAATACAATTTAAAATATAAATTTGAATATATAAATCACTTTTTTAATTTCTCTATTTTAAATGATGAATTATTTATGAATGAAGTAAGATTATTCTTAAAATTAATTATGTCTGAAAAAAAAAAGGGAAAAAGTGAAAATTCTATTAAAAAAAAAAACAATTTTCTAAATCTCTTTGAAAATATTCTAAAGAAAATTTTAGTTTCTCCATTTTATATTAATGGTGTTGTATTTTTCTTTAAAAAAAATAATTATATAAATCCAGATAATTTTTTGAATATATTCCTAAAAATAAATACTGATGAAAATGTTCTTATAATATATTTGAATCCTATTGAAAAATATGAAGAATTTCTTAATCTAAAAAATAATATAGAAGGAAAAACAGAAAATTTAGATTTAAGAAGTAACACAGAAAATATGATAGTATACGGAAAAAGCGACAAAAAAAGTAAAGAAACAAATGATAAAAAACAATATGAAACAAATGATAAAAAAAAAAACGAAACAAATGATAAAAAACGAAATGAAACAAATGATAAAAAGCAAAATGAAACAAATGATAAAAAACAAAACGAAACAAATGATAAAAAACAAAATGAAACAAATGATAAAAAACAAATTGAATTAATTGGCATACAAAGAATTAAATGTTTTTATGAAAACCTAACAAAAACATACCAAAGGAAGATTGAAAAAAAATTAGACGAGAAAAAAAAAATTGAAAAAATAATAGAATTATTAAATATAAATTATGATGAGAACACTCCTTGTACCATTGATGAAAATAAAGATAAAAAAAATATAGATATAAAAAAAAAAAAGACAATTTTAAAAAGACTAACAAAGGAAATAGAATATAAAGATAACGAAGCACTTGTAAATGAATCATGTTCTGATATACTAGACAACAATGAATTAGGAAACTATTTAAAAAAAAATGAAAAATTAGAAGATAATGAAAATAATAAAATACATGAAAAAAATATAAGTGTAATAGAATATTTTGAAGATAATGGACCTAATCCAACACATAATTTATATGAAAAAATGAAAATCTACAAAGAAAAATATACTTTAAATAAGCAAATAATTAATGAGTTAAGTATGAAGTGTTCTAAGAGAAAGGAAAATGTTGACTATAAAATCATTAAATATAATAAAAAAGTAAATAAAATAAATAATTATATGAAAAATTCTAATTACATGGATTATGCACCATTTTATAAGGAATTAAAAACAATATTAAGGAATATATTAAAAGAATACTTAAAAAAAAATATGAATTTTTCTAATACAGATAATTTTCATGAATCAGAGGATATTATTACCTTAAAAAATGATGAGGAAATAGAAAATAAAAAATTAGAATATGAAAAAAAAAAAAGTTTCATAAAAAAAGTAAATCTTGAACTTAGCGATAATTTCATTGAGAAAATATATGAAGAAATAGATATCAATATTTTAGATGTAAATGTTAAAGATAAGGAATATATAAAAAATAAGGATACTAATAATTTTAATGAAAGAGAATGTAATATAAAAATAGAATTCGATAAATTAAATAATAAGCATAATATACCAGAAATTAAAAAAAAAATAGAAAAAATTACCAATGAAAATGCATTATGTGATAAAGATAATTCATCTAGAAATTACAACGTAACTGGTGGCATTACTAGAACAGATGCAAACAATAAAGATGAAAATATAAAAACCATTATTGACAAAAATGAAGAATTAATAAAATATTTGAAACAAACTTTTGTTCATATAACATTTATATTTTTTTTTGTTAATGATGAGATATATTTTAAAAAAAAAAAAATTATGAATGAAATTTCAAAGAATTTATATCAAAATTATAGTGATGTAAAAACATCTGCTTATTTTTTTGATATTCCTTACCCAAAAATTTACGATTCTTTTAACTTAAAAAATTTTATTCAGAGAAAAAAAAATTTAGAAAAATGTGAAAGCATAATACATGTAGACAATAATAGAGGAACAAAAGAAAAAGAAGAAAAAGAAACAAAAGTTGTAGAAAAGAAAGAATTACATACAGTTTACAAAGAATTTAAAGAAAAAAAAAAAAAGAAAAAGGAAAAGAAAAAGGACACAAAAACAAAAATAGAAAAAGAAGAAAAGGAAAAGGAAAAGGATAAGGAAAGAGAAAGAGAAAGAGAAGGGGAAAAGGAAAAAGGAGAAAAAGGAAATATAGAAAGTGAAAAGGAAAAGGAAAAAGAAAAAGAAAAAAATAGGAATAAAGAAAAAGCAAATGAAAAAGACGAAGAAAACGAAATAGAAGATAAAGAAAAAAAAAAGAAAAAAAAAAAAAAAGAAAATAATGAAGATGATAAAAAAAAGAAGGAAAAGGGAAAAGAAAACGAAAAAAATACAAATAAAGAAAAAACCAAAGAAAAAGATAAAGGAAAGGAAATAGAGGATAAAGAAAAAAAAAAAGATAATAATGAAAATGATAAAAAAATGAAGGAAAACGGAAAAGAAAACGAAAAAAATATGAATATAGAAAAAAAAAAAGAAAATAATGAAGATGATAAAAAAAAGAAAAAGGAAAAGGGAAAAGAAAATGAAAAAAATAGGAATAAAGAAAAAGTAAAAGAAAAAGATGAAGGAAAGGAAATAGAAGATAAAGAAAAAAAAAAAGAAAATAATGAAAATGAAAAAAAAAAGAAAAAGGGAAAAGAAGAGAGAAAGAAAAGAGAAAGGAAAAGAGAAAGGGGAAGAGAAGGAGAAGAAGAAGAAAAAGAAAAAGAAAAAGAAAAAGAAAAAAATATAATAGACGAAGCAAGAGATAGTGAAAATATCAGAAATGACGATATATATCAAATAAAAGAACATACAAATAAACATGAAAAACTTAAAAAGGAAAATATAGAAGAAATACACAGTGAGAGAACAAAAAGTGTAAAAATAAATATGAATGAAAAGAAAATCAAAGATGTTTATTATGAAGAATTAGAAAAAAAAAAATATGAAATAAAAGATGAATACGATTATATGTTTTACAAATGTTACAATTCATATAATAAAAATAAATTAATTGGAAATATTAATATAGAAGATGGAGATCAAAAATTAATTGAATTTTTACAGATGGACACACATGATGACAAGAAGGATATGATACAGTATAAAAATATTACTCATTTTATGTTAGAAAAGAATAATAACACAGAAATATATATAAAAATTAATACTTGTAAAATAACAAACATGAAAAAAACAATATGCTTAATAGATATTCTAGGAAATTATATTTTCCTAAATATTCATATTATAATTGATAAACCTAAAATATATTCCAATCCTTACTTCATATTTAACAATAATGTTTCATTATTTGATAAAAGTAACTGCTTCATTTTGTCGAAAAAGATATATAATTTTGATAAAGTTTTAATTGGAAAAAATTTAAGTACATTTAAGGATTTAATAGAATCAGAATTAAAAGAAGAAGGTGAAGAATATGTTGAGTTTCTGAAAAAATTTGAAGGTATACATTTACCAAAATTTAAGATAAACAAATATAAAATAAAAAACATAAGTACTTTAGAATATAGTGTAAAAGAAAAAATGATATCAAATAACATTGATATGATAAGAAATAAAGATATTCTTAAACATTTATATAAACATGTTCAAATTTTAAATTTATTTAACCCATCTTACTTTGATTGTTTCGTTGAACTTTCTTTCGATGATAAGTTACATAACTATAATGAAAATAAATCTCCAAAGAGAAAAAGTGTTGATAATTTTTTAATATATAATGACTTTTATATATATCCTGATAAATTTTTTATTTTATCAAAAAAATTTCAAAAAATTATTATTTTATTTTTACCTAAGAATCCATCTGTTTTTTTCGAAAACTTATTGTTATCAATATATGCTGTGAAAGAAAAAATAAGTGATAAAAACGATAAATTAAGCTTAAATAACGAAAAAAATATGATAGAAGCAAATAAAGAGATCAATAAAAGTGATAAGATATTTCAAAGTGAAAATTTATCTATAAATAATATAGATATATTAAATAAAGAAATTGACAATTCTACCTTTGATATTTTTACTTTGTCTTTAAAAGGAGAAGGAATAAGATGTTCTTTAAAAATTGATCAGAACTACTTAAATTTTCATAAAATCCTTTTAAATTCTACTTACAAAAAAACAATAGAAATAAAAAATAATAGTTATTGTGAAATTTTATGGTATATTGATTCTAATGACTTAAAGGATAATTATCTTAAAATAAATCCTGTAAAAGGAAATTTACTTAAAAATGAAAAAAAAATAATAACTATTTGTATTAATGCAAACAAAGTCGATATAATAAAAAAAAAAATTAAAATTAATTATTTGGAAAAAAATTTAACTAAAAAGGATAAAGAAAAAAATAATTTATATTTCACTCTTTTTGATATTGAAGCAGAAATATGTAAATCTTTTGTTCAAATAAATTTCGAAATTTTAGATGAAAATAAAAATGATAAAAATAATCAATTAATTGATAATTCTGTTGGTGATACGAACAATATATTGAAAAATAATAATTTAAAAAATAACACACCACTAGATATTTTAAAAGGTAAAACAAAAGAAAAACTTACCCAGTCTAATAAATTGTATGAAGTGATAGAAAAAGAAATTAACTTTATGCATGTCCAAGTTAATGAAGTTAAATTTTGTTTATTTAAAATTAAAAATACAGGAAAGATTAAAATTTCTTTTTTCTTAGAATTAAATGATGATTATTTTTTAAATTTTATAACCATTGATAAGATAAGTGATTCTATAAATTCAAACGAAATAAAACTAGTAAAATTAAAATTAAAATCAAATAAAAAAATTAAATTTCAAAATATTCCATTGTTCATACATATTTATGATATTGATAATAATTATATCCAATCATATAAATATCTATGTAGTGTATTTTTTGATTACAATTATCTGAAAATTATACCTCCTATACTTAATTTTGATTCCATCGAAATAAAAAAAGAAGAAACAAAATTTTTTAAAATAATTAATAATGGATATTTTGATTTTAAATATGAAATAAAATTAATAAAAAATAAAATAAAAAATAGAGATGATAAATTATTAGAAAATAATAATACAGGAAATTATGAGAATAATAAAATTCATGAAATAGATCCTTTTACTATTTTTCCTACAATCGGTTTAATAAAATCAAAAGAAGAACAAACAATTAGTGTTCTTTTTAATTCTTCTGAAGAAAAATATTACAAATATATTTATATTGTTGATGTAGATAACCTTATGCCAGATGTAAATGTAAATAATAAATATAAAAAAATAAAAGGAAAAAAAGAAAAAGAAAAACATGGTGAACTAATTAAAATATTTGCATCCTCAGTTACACCTCGAATTTCTTGTAATATACAAAATATATTTGAAGAAGTTTTTGTATTAAAAAAAATGGATGTTTATCGTGATTTTTTAGATTTTTTTCTGAGCAAAAACAGTTATTATAATGTTGATGATAATACATTATATTATAAATATTCTTATGTAAATGAATTCATTAGTGAAAGAATTAAAATTACTAACATATCTGATATAAATGTAAATGTTAAAATAGAAGTTAAAGAAATTGATTTTTTAGATTATAAGTATAAAAAAGGAAAAGAAAAAGAAAAGGAAAAGGAAAAGGAACAAGAAATAACAAAAGAAAAAGAGATGGAAAAAAGAAAAATAGAAAATTTAATTCAAACAAAATCGTCTATTAAATTTCATATGAGAGTACAAAATTATAATGAAGTAAAAAAAAAATGGATTTTAAGTGAAGATGATAATAATGATAATAATACTTTTGTTATAACACGTTATCAGAATAAATATATTGACTTATGTTTTTATTCTAGTCAAATAGTAAGTAAAAAATTTCTTGTAAATGTTTATATTGAAAAATCCCAAAATTTTTGTTTGTGTTTTTCTTTCTATATAAGTGTTGAATTCTTTTTGCCTTCTATTAATTTTATTATGCTACCTAACCTATTAAAACTAAATAATGAAAATAAAGTTTTTGATTTAGGTGATATTCATTTAAATAGTGTAATTTCAATTAAAGTAAAATTAAAGAATTTTTTCAAATATCCTGTTTTTATTAAAATATTCTTTGAAAAAATTAATACTCTTTTTGAAAATATGAATGATGGTCAAGTAAAAAAACAAATAAATAATAAGAAGGAATTAAAAAACCAATTAAATGTTAATGAGAACATAGAACAAATAAAAGACGATGATAAATTAAATAATCAAATAAAAGAAAACGAAAAACTTAAAAACCATCAAAATGATGAAAAAAAAAAATGCAGTATATTAAAAAATAAAAAAATAGCAAATAAGAATATAAAAACTGAAAGTATTATAGATAAAAATAATATAGAAAAACCTTTAGATAAATACGATGTAATTCATAACAATGAGGTATTTTCTAATAATCCTTATGTTGAGGAAAAAAAAGATGTTTTTGAAATTTTAAATAATAATAATTTTTTTAATAATATAAGAGATAATATTTTATTAAAAAGAAAAAACAATATTATATATTTTGACCATAAAAATATAAAAGACATAATATATGATGAAAAAATAAGAAAGAAAAAAATTGAATTCGGGTATTTCCAATTCATTGGACATGATAGCTATATTTTAAGAGAAAACGATATGGTGTACTTTGATATAAAAATAAATAAAAAAAAAATACAAGAGGAAATAAATAGAAGGCAAATAAAAGATCAATTAAATAAAAAAGACATTGAAGAGGATATAAGTAAAAATAGTATTGGAGAAGATTCAAATAAAAAAACAAATGAAGACTATCTACAAGAGACTAATGCTGAAGAGGAGATGTATAAAAAAAATAATGAAGATGAATTAAGTAAAACAAATGATGAAAATGAATTATATAAAAAAAAAAAAAAAAAAAAAAAGAAATTAAATAAAAAGAAAAATGATAAAAATGTATGTGAAACTACAGGGAAAAACATTATTGAAAATGTTAAATCTAAAAAAGAAGTATTAGGTAGCATAAATATTGAAGTTTTAAATAATATTTACGAGTTTTATAATTTAAAATTTTTAGGAAATATAAAAGAATGCAAAAACTACTGGAATTTACAAATTTTGAAAAGACAAATAAAATATTTCTATAAAAATAACTTTTTTATTTTTAAAAACCATATAAATTTAGATATATTACCTATAAACTATAATAATATATTTAAATTATATTATACGAATGAAAACAGTTACGACTTATATTTTAATATAGAAATGGATAAAAAAATAAAAAATTTTATTGATATCAATCCCTCAGTTGGACATGTGCCATCAAATAGTACTACATTATTTTCTCTAAAAATTGAAATAAAGGAATCTATCAATTTAACAAAAAAAAAAATACCATGCAGATTTTCTATGCATCCTTTTAATAAAAAAAATGTAAAAATAAGTGACTCTCTAGTATATGATGATGACTTATATATAAGTTTAGAATCAACAGAAATAAAAGTTTCTTATAACAAAAAAAAAATTTCTTTCAAAAATATTCCTTTTTTCAATTATTCAAAAAATAAATTGCTATTAGAAAATTTATCCAATGTCAAATTATATGGTGAATTAAATATAATACCTGTGAATGATTTAGATGATATAACGTCTGTTTATTCTTTTGTCCCTTTTAAAGAACAAAATATTATTTCATTATTAGAAAAAAATAATACTAATTTACTATTCAAAGAGAAAATAGAAGATAAGAAATATTTTAATTGTTTATCTTCAGAAAAAATAGAAATGAAAAATATAAAAAATGACTTACAAATAAGTAATAAAATAGAAAAAAAAAAAAAAAATGAAAATGATGATTTATTAAAAAGTTCTAATATAGAAAATAAAATGGAAAAAGGTAATGAAGACAATCCAATTGATGAATTTTATTTAACTAAATATGATTTAAATATATCTGATTTTGATAATAATAATCATAATAATAATTTTGAAATTAATTTTAATGAGACAAACAAAATTATAGACAAAAATAAAATTATTAAAAAATGTTTTACTATTAATGGGAAAAGTAATAAGTATATAAATATATATTGCTTTCATCACATTTATAAAAAAACATTTGATGCTATGTTACATATAAAAATAAAGCTTTATGATGAAATAAAAATACCTATTGAAATGGTTTTTGAAAATGATGAAAAAGAAGATATTTTTTTATTAACAAATTTTAAACATAAGGAAATAGTTGATAAAAAAGAAATAAAAAAAATTGAGAAAAAGAATGAAATATTAATAATTAGCAGAGGTATTTTAAATAAAATAAATCACAAAATATATATGTTGAATATTTCAAATAGAATCTTTGAATATCTTTTTGAAAAATCCAATGAAATATGTGAAACAGAAGGTGCATCTCTTTTAACGGCTTATAGTAAGAATGGTAATAGTAATAATAATAATGTTATTGATTGTGTAAATTATAAGGGTTCTATTAAAGAAAACAATTTTTCTATAATTAAATTTCTTTTTAATTCATTTAATTCTTTATCATATAAAGGTAATTATAATTTTTATATAAACAATAAGAAGCAGGAAAACATAGAGTTTCAATTAAAGGTAATTGAGCCACTCGTGTTTTTTAATACCTCATTTATACATATAAATAATTTAATATTAGAAAAAAGTTATTGTTTTGTTTTTTATCTAATTAATTTTGATTTAATAGATATAAATTTTGAATTTGATAACAATTCATATAGCTCTTTTAATAGTAAAAGAGAAGTAATCAAAATAATCCCATCTAAAGGAACTATAAAATCTTGTTATAAAAAAAATAAATATTTTTATAAAAATTTACATAAATCTATGTATGATAATAATGAAAAAAACAATATTAACAAAAATAAATTAAATACTTTAAGATCTGCTTCCTCTTCTTTCATAGAAGAGAATTCTATGAATTATTATTCAAGTGAATGTAAATTTAGCAATAGAATATTATATGACAATTTTCAGAATACTTTAATAAGAAAAAAGAAAAAAAAAAAAAGTAAAGTAAACTATTCAGATGGTTTAAATACAAAAAATTCCTCAAGTGATGGCTCTATTAATTCTTCACAGAAAACATCATCGTTATTATCGTCTCAGTCAAATTTTAATTCTTATAAAAATAAAATAAAACTGAAAAACAATAATCATATATATAATGGTAACAAAGGAAGTAGGGATAGAATTTCAGAAAAGTATGATTTAGATACTTCATGTTCATCTGATAGTGAATCGTCAACAAATACATTAAAAGAACACGAGAAATTAAATAATAAAAAAAATAATAAATTCTTCCTTATAAATTATTATTTGAAAAATATTTGGAATGTAAATAATGGCAAGTTTAAAAAAGAAATTAAGCACATCATTGGGAAAGGAAGGAGTCAAAAAATAAAATTATATTTTAAACCATATCTTGAACAATTTTATAATTTTAGCATATTGTGTAAAATTGAAACGAAAGAAGAACCTTTAAAAATAAATTTTAAAATGCAGGCTAGTAGAATTAATATTAACTGTTATATAGAAAATTTTGATAAAGAGAAAATTAGACTTAATTTACAAAATTCCTTGTTACGTAAAAAAAATAAAAATAATAATGATTTAATAAATATTTATGAAACAATAGATTTTAAGGAAACTTTAATTGGAAAAAAAAAGGTCTCCAATTTTATAATTGAAAATTTATGTTCATATGATTTATTTTATAAATATTATTTACAAAAAAATGATGATGAAATATCTATACAATGTAGCAATAGTTATATTTCAAGTAGTTCTATACTTATTATTACCGTTGAATATAAGCCTCTAATTAATCAAATATATGAGAATTATTTAATTCTTAACATAGCAGATTTTTATATAATAAATTTAAAAATTACAGCTATTTCAACAAATTTTTTAATTAATTTTTCTTTTCACAATTATGACTTTGGTAATATTATATTATTTCCAATTTTAGATAAATATATTAATATAAAGAAAATGAATTTAAATCAATATTATGAAAACAGTTTTTCTTCAACTAATAGTTCTTTGTCATCTCTTATGTCTACTTATAAAATGAAAGAGAGAGAAAAAAAAAAAAAAAAAGAAATGGATGAAAAAGAAAAAAACATTAACATTTTTCAAAAGGATAAAATACAAGACACAGAGAATGATATGAAAAAAGAAAAGAAAAAAAAAGAAAAGTATAAGGATGAAGAGACAGATAAAGTTTCTCATAAAAATAAAAAAGAAAAAAGCAAAAAACTGAAAAAAGGTGATAAAATAAAAAATAAAATGAAAGAAGAATTAAAAGAAGAAGATAAAGAGGAAATTTATAAAAGCGAGATAAATAAAATTGAAGTAAACAAAAATGAAAATACTGTAAATGAATTGAATTCATTAGATATGAAAAAAAATAATAACATTGAAAAAGAAAATGATAATATAGATATGATGAATGAAGAAGAAAATATCAATACTGCAAAAACAAAACTTTTTATTTATAATAATAATGATGAAGACTGCTATATTGAATATGAATTAAATGAATGTTCTTTAAAAATAATAAATTCAGATAAAAAAATATATTTAAAGAAAAGAAGTAAAACTTGCCTTATTATTTTATTTAAACCAAATGAAGAAAAAAATTACAATTACAAAATACCGTTTATAATAAACAATGATTTAAATAAAATTGTTTATATATATTTTACAGGATCTGCTAACTATTTTAAGTTACCATTTACATGTAATAACTCAAATGAAATAAATTTTAAAGATGTTCATGTGGGTAAAGAATCAATAAATAAATTTACTCTACATAATAAAAATTCAAAAGATATATCTTTTAATATATTTAATTATAAAGATATAGAAAAATACTTTCTGTCATTTGTGAAATTTGATAATGGCAATTTACATATTCTAAAAAAAAAGGAAAAAAAAACATTTGAAATAAAATTTTTACCAGAAAAATATATACAATTGGAAATACCTCTATATTTAAATATTAATCTTGATGAAAAATTTATAGTTTTTTATTTAACAAATATTAAAGTAAATAGTGTATGTTATAAAGTTGTATTAAAGGAGAAGATGCTAACATTTAATAAAATGGATACAAAAGAAGATGATATTAGTAAAATTCAAGAAAATTTAAATGATATTAACGAAATAAAAAAAAAATTATTCAAAGGTTCAAATAATAATAAGGATTCTATAAATTGTAAAAAAATTCAGTTGCATAACACAGGAGATATGAACGCTCAATTTCAAATATTTTATCCTCAAAAATATGAAAAGTTTTTATTTTTATATCCTAAAAAAGGAATTATTTTTTCTCTCAATATAATAGACATTTACGTATTTATAGATACAGATTTTATAAGCAAAGATTTATTTATTAACGATATAGTTGTAGAGTTGTTTCCCAAATTTAACAAAATTAATAATAAAGTTTTCTTTAATATATTTATTAATTCATCCAGTAATATGATAAAATATAAAAGCACAGGTATGAATAATTTAAAAACAATTATAAATGAAAACAATACAGAAGAACTAAAAAAAGAATTAGAAGAAGAAAAAAACATAAGTAAAAAAAATCATAATGTTGATTGCATGGAAAAAAAAATTAACATATTTCCCTTAAAAAATGAAACTATCATCACATTTTTAACAGATATTAGAAAGGAAATAAGAAAAAAAATTGAGATATTTAATGACTCGCAATCGAATTTTAAATTAAAATACAAATTTTTATCAAATGAACAGAATTTTTTTTCTATTGTAAAAAATGAAGATGTAATAAAAGCAAACGATAGTGGGTCATTCGATATTGTCTACAATCCTCTATTTGTTTTAAAAAAAAAAAATAATAATAATTATCGTAATAATTTGTGTGAAAAATATCAAAAATATTGTTCAAAAATACATCATTTATCTAAATTAGTTATTTATTACCCTAATGATGTTATAAAGAATTACACTTTATTAGGTTATTCAGATAATAATTCTTATGAAAAAAAAATTTGTTTTAATTTAAATTCTAAATCTCTCAACAATGCATCTGTAAGAATAAAGAATTGGATAAATGAAAATCAAACATTAATTGTTTCTTACTATTGTTGTGATAAAGATTTGAAAGTTTTAAATAATAACCTACTCTTTTTTTATGTAAGAACATTTTATACATATTTAGTAATTATTAAAAAATATGTATAAGTAGACGTAAATTATGATTACAAATAATTAGATATTTGTATAATTCAAATTAATACTAATAATTTGTATATTTGAAAAATATATATATATATAGTAAAATTATAAGAGATATTTTGTTAAAAAAAATGTAAATAATAAATAAAATAATTAAAGATAAAATTATATATATTTTAAATTAAGAATGAAAAGTTTAGATAAAATAATTATGGAAAAAAAACTACGTTAAAAATAGACTTATAATTTTTTTTTTTTTTTTTTTTTTTTATTAATCAGATACAAAACAAATTTGATTTAACTATTAGAGAAGAAAAACATTTATTTTTTAAGGTTACTTCATTAAAAGAGGGTATATTTTATGTATTGTTAATTTTATCAAATGAAAAATATGAAGACAAATATAAAATATTACTTCAGTTTGAAATGTTTAAAAGTGACTTTTTGTGTGTAAAAAATATTAATGGAAATAAAAAAGAAATATTAAAAGAAAATGTCTTTATATATAATCCATTGGATGAAAATATACTAATGGATACAATATTTGATTATACATATGTATTTTTTGATAATTCTATAGTTCTTGAAAAAAAAAAAAATAATAAAATAAATGTATATTTTTGTATAGTAAAAAACGAAAAAGATAAAAATGTGATTATATCCTTTTCTAATAGAACATTAGGAAACTATAACTTTAAATTTGTTCTTAATATAAATATGAATGAATTTGAAGAAAATTTTTATTTCAATACTGATTTAGGCTCATTACAAATTAACGAAATTTCTTTTACTAATGTTTGCAATCAGAAAATTAATTATGATGTAGTTATAGAAGATTTTGATGAAAACAATGAAAATTCAAAACAGATATTCCAATGTGAAGATAAAATAACAGTTAAACCAATCGATACGAGTTTTTTTTTAAAAAATGACACACTAAATAATCTATCCGATAAAATATGTTTGACAATTAAATATAACCCCCCTGATATTAGAATTAATAAAGCTATTTTAAAGCTAGTGTCTAAAGAAGGAATAATATATAAGGTTTTTTAAAAAAATAAAAAAAAAATGATAAAAAAAAAAGAAGAAATATGATAAAAATAAATTAAAATATATATATATATATGTATATATAATTAAAATGATATTTATATAATGTAAGAAAATTTTTCTATAAATAGGGTTTATTAATAGGGAAAAGTGTATCACCAAAACCTAGAGGACCAATTTTTTGTTCATCACAAAAAACAACTTTAATTGATTTTACAAATCCATTTTTTCAGATGAAACAATTTTTTCTCAAAGTAATATTAAAATAATAAAAAAATAAATTATTACATGTTTATATGTAAGCTTTTTCTCTTTTTTTTTTTTTTTCCAAAGGCTGATGAAAATTTCATTATTCCATTTGAAAATGTAAAAATTGAAGCAAGACAAACAATTCAAATACCAATTAAATGCAAAACAAGAAATGCAACTTCTGGTAAATTTCTATATATATATTTTTAATATTTATTTCAAATATCATTTTTTAGTAGAATTTTTTTTTTTTTACTTAAAATTTTAAGCTTGTTCTAAATTTTTTAAAACAAATTTTTTTTTGTTTATTTAATTTTTTTTAGGAAAGCTTATACTTAAATCAGAAAATGATAATATATGGATGTATTACTTAACAGGACAATAAAAATGAATAAAATAAGTAAAATCATTTTTCCATCCATGATGATGCTATTTTTTCTAATTTAAAAAATGTCATATCAATATTTTTAAAAAAATTTTCATCATCTATCAGACGTTTCCAAAGGTAAAAAACTCTCTTTTTTTTTCTTAAAATATAATAGTCCCACGCTTTTTCAAATTTACTATTCAAACTTTTCATTGACAAAAGAAACCATTTATAAAATACATTCTTCATAATTTTATTAACTCTTTTTTTTTTTATCTTAAAAAAAAAAAAAAAATAAATAAATAAAATAAACTATAATAGATTGTATATATACAAGATGTGTTAATTTATACATAAATTACAACAATAAATATTACTTTTAAATATATTTTATTAATGTTAAAAATTTTGTTTTTCAGAATTTTAAAAAAGTGTGATTTTAAATTTGTTCTTTGATGCATTTCAATAATGTAACCTAATGATTCTCTTACACATTTTTTTATTTTACATGAGTATTTATTTTTTCTGATTTCATAAATAAAAAAATAAAATAAGTAATGATATAAAAGAAACAAAAAGAAATACGAAATTGATAAATTTTACAAATAAAAAAAAAAAAAAAAAAAAAAAGACAAATTTAAATGAAAATTAAAAAATAAAAAGAAATTGGTAGCACATATAATATATCTATACAAAATATTTTATTTTATTTTAATTTTACAAAAAGATATAAAAGACAATTTTCCATCTTCTGTAAGTATCATTCAACTTAGTAACACATAATATACTTTGTATTCTGTAATATTCATTTAAAATTATTAAAAAAGCCTTTTTTTTTAACTTCATTTGATAATATGTTTTAACAACGTTTAATATTTTATCTTCTTCTATTTTATTTACTTCTTTATTTTTTTTGTTCCTAATATATTGTTTATAAATATAAATGTATATGTATTTTAATATGTGAAATACTACCTTTACATTTATTATTTTAAAATGTTATTTTTTCTATTTTTACAATAGATTGTCAAAGTATATTTTTTTATTTAAAATTCTTTTATTATTGGAATTATCTTCCTGTGTATTTTGTAACTTAACTTTATCAATGAATTTTTGCATTTTTGTATGTGGATAGATTGAGTGCAATATAACTAAAATATCAAGATTAATTAGAAATACTTGAAAAAAAACGATGGTATGATATTATTATGTATAATAATGTGTTTATTTTTAAAAAAAGTAAATATATGTATAAATTAAAGTTTTTCCTCCTTATAAGCAATTTTTACTATTATATTTAAAAAATAATTAAAACATAAAAAAAAATGTAATAATAAAATATGTAAAGCTTGTTATAGTATTATAAAAATATTAAAAAGGAACAAAGAAAATGATAGATTTAAAAGTTAAGATAAAAAATGTAGAAATATATATAAATTATATTGTATATATATAAATAAATGTAAAAAAATAAAATTATATACGATGTACATAAGTAAAGCAAAATCAATTAGGTATTTAATTTAATAAAAATTATTAAAAAAAAAATATGAAATAAGTAGATTATAAAATTTAGAAAATATTTTCATATAAAATAATTATAACAAAATAAGAAAACTATAAAACTATAATATTAAAAATAAAAAAAAAAAAAAAAAAAGAAACTTCAAAATAATTAGACAAATAAATGAAATATAAATTTTAATTTAATATTATTTACTTTATAGTAAAAAGCAGAAATATATAATTTTCTAAATTTTTGCCAAAAAAAAAAAAAAAAAAAAATACATAAATATATATATATTTCTTTAAAATTTGTAATAATTAAATTAAAAATATAATAATTAAATATTCCTTCATTTTCCAATAAAAATTGGTAATTCTAATAAAATTATTCTTTTAGTTTTTTTTTTTTTTTTTTTTTTTCATTTAACACATTAGTCACAATTTATTCGCATATAATATTTTGTCTCAATTACTATGTGTTTTATCTTTTAAGGAATTTTGATCTATGTCATTTTGACTTGAATCTACTTTATTTAAATCATCTTGATTAGTATTATTTTCATTCATACTATTTTTGCTTGTATCAATTTGATTTTCATAACTTTTATTTACTTCATTTTCATTTAAACTTTTTTGATTAGCATCACTTTGGATTAAACTATTTTGTTGTGTCGAATCATTAGAAGTATTTTTTTCTATAGAATTTTCAGTAGGTAAATTAGTTTCTGTATTATCTTCTTGATTCTTTTGAACATTCATTAAATATGCTTGTGCATTTTGTTCCATCATATTTATAACTCTTTTTGCAAACAAACCAGTATCATCTATTGTATATCCTCCTTGCATAGATGCAATATCAAAAATTTGTTCTGCAATTTCTGAAATTTGTGAATTCATTTTATCTATTTGTATTAAATGATTTAACTGTTTAATAATAAAATGATTGGGATTAATTTCTAAAACTGGCTGATTTGCTGTTTGACCTCCAAACATTTCATTTTCTGAAATTCCTTGAGCAGTAGCTTGTTGCTTCATATATTTTTGCATAGAAGGGGATATACCCATTTCACCCTGAACTAATAAAGCAGGAGAATTAATTAAACGATCTGATATTCTGACTTCATGTACTTTATGAGAAAATTTATTATGTAACCATCTACATAATATTTCGTACTGCATTTTTAATTTATCTAAATTATCATTTTTGTTTTGATCATTTTCCTTTTTTAATTTTAAATCAGCCTTATTTACATCTAAAACATCATATCCTTTATATTTATTAACTGTTAAGGAAGATAAACAAAATTCATCTATAGGTTCTAAAGAAAATAGAACATCATAATTCAGAGCTTTAAGCTTTTCTAAAGAGGGTGAATTCTGAGCAGTTTTCTTATTTTCTCCTGAAATATAATAAATACATTTTTGATCTTCTTTCATATTTTCTATATATGTATCAAGATCTGTTTTTTTATCGCCACTATTGATTGAATAAAATTCAACTAAAGATGCTATTTCTTCTTGATTTTCTTTATCTTCTACAACACCAATTTTGAGATATTTCCCAAAAGTATTAACAAATTTATTCCATTTATCTCCACCACTTTCTTTTAGTCCTTTCATCATGCTAATACTTTTAAGAACAATCCTTTTATTAATGATTGATAACATTTTAGATTTCTGTAAAATTTCTCTTCCAACATTTAATGGTAAATTTTCACTATCTACAATACCTCTTAAGAAGGTTAACCATCTAGGAATAGATTCTGAAAATTTATCATTTATAAAAACTCTTTTCACATATAATCTTATTCCTCTTGATTCTTCATCAAACATATTTTTAGTCAATTCCCATGGTAAGGAACCAGGTATGTATAAAATTGAGTTAAAGGAAATTTGTCCTTCTACGTTAAAATGAACATAAGCTAATGGATCATCATAGGCTTTAAAAGTATTTTTATAAAAACTATAATAATCATTTTCTGTTAATTTTCTTTCATCCTGTTTCCATATTGGCAGTTGCACATTTATTTTTTCCCATTCATGGTATCTCTTTGTAATTGTTTTCATTTTCATTTTATCTCCATCTTTTAAAGATACAGAATCATCAGGAACTCTTTCATAATCTATTTTTTCTGACCATATTTCAATTGGAAATTTAATAAATTCAGAATACTTTTTTATTAATTCCTTTAATTTGTAATCTTCTAAATATTCATCACATTCTTCTTTTAAATATAAAATAATTTTTGTTCCACTACTTTTTATATCCTCATATTCTTGATCATATTTCCTTATTTCGTTCACGCTGAAACTACCATTCAAATCAGAAAACCATCTAAAAATTTTATCAACTTTTTTTGTAAATACTTCTACTTTATTAGAAACAAGAAAAGATGAATAAAAACCAACACCAAATTGACCAATTAAGTTACTATCTGCTTTTCCCTCCTCAATTTGTTTTAAAAATTTTGCAGTTCCTGATTGAGCTATTGTTCCTAAATTGTTTATTAATTCATTTTTATCCATACCAATTCCATTATCAATTATTGTCAATGTTTTTTTTTCTTTATCAGGTTTTATTTTTATTATCAATTTTTTACTTTCATCAATTTCTTCAACTTCCTCTTTTTTTTCCATTTCATCTTTTTTTTCCATTTCCTCTTTTTTTTCTATTTCCTCTTGAGTTTCTACATCATCCTTTATATTCAATTCTGTGTTAACTCCTGATTCTCTTAATTTCTGTGCTTCTTTCATCATTTTATTGTTCTCTAATATAATTCTTTTTTTATCACATGCATCTGATGCATTTGATATCAACTCTCTTAAAAAAACATCTTTATCGGTATATAAAGAATTAACAATTATGTCCATTACTTTATTAACTTCTGCTTTAAAATTATATTTTTCTACAGGTGAACTATCTGATGAAATATCCTCTCTAATTACTTTAACATCATCATTAAAATTTTTTATAAAATTTCTTTTGAATGCTTTTTTCTTCAAACACGTTTTGTTTATCTTATCATTTATGTTTCCATTTAAGTTTTGGTAATTTAATATATAGCTTAATTTTTCTATATTCCTAGATAAATTATATGCTACAGTTTTATCATATAATTTTAAAAACACAACAAAAACAAAGAATAATGTTAGTTTTATTTTGTTCCCAAAATAAACATTTTGCATTTTTTATAATTTCATATATTTCTTTTTCTTTTATATTTATTTATTTATATATTTATTTTTTTTTTTTATTTCTTAAGTTCTTTATAATAAAATATATATAATTTAAATATATATTTTTATACTTTCTTATAAAAATAAAATATATACTACAAGCATGTGTTATTTTAAAGAAGCTACGTAAATTCCTTAATATAAAAAGGAATATGAAAAGATTAAAATTAAAAATACTTGTATATATGTAATAACATACTTTTGCTTATATTAATTCATACTTTCTTATAAAAATATTTAAAATATTTTGCCTTTTATTATTTTCTCATATATGTATCTTTTATCTATAATTTTATATTTTCTTGCTTCTTTTAAATCCATATAATATCTTAAATAACTTTAAAATTTTTTAAAGTTATTGTTTTATTTAAATTTATTTTGATATATTTATTAAAAGCAAAATTTAAAATAAATTATAATACTAGAAAATTATGTAAATTTATTGATACTAATATAAAATTAATTTAAAAAATAAAAAAATAAAAATAAATTTAAAATACGTTAAAAAAATAATAAAATAAAACAAATACAACAAAAATGAATAAAGAATTAAATAGATATGTGAATTTATAAATGAAAGGCAACATAATCAAATTAGTAGAGATTCATCTTAAAGAAGTTTTTCATTTTTTTAGAAGAAAAATTCAATAAATATTTTCAATTTTTTTTTACAATATTTTTTTAAGTGTAAGTATAATATTAATCAAATATATATGTTAGAAGAAAAAAAAAAAAAAAAAAAAATTTAATATTTGTGTATAAATTCAGAAGAAAAATGAAATAATATTTGGTATTTAAGTAAAAAGTGACATAAACGAAAAAAATAATATAATTTTTTATAAAAGTAGAGGAAAAGAAAAAATGTTTAAGAAAAGATCTTTAAATAATTTAAAAAATAGAAAAAAGATAGAAGATATAAAAAATGAAGATGAGAACAATGGAGAAAATATAAAAAAAGAAGAAAATAATATAGTTGACGAAAAAGATATACTTCAAAACAAAAAGAATAAAAAAGATAAGGAAAATAGTGATGACGATGTAGTTTGTAAATATTTATTTAAAAAAAAATTAAAAAAAATGAACGAAGAAAAGTCTTTACATTTAAAAAAGCAAAATAAATTGATACAATCAAAAAGTGAAGATATTAAAGAAGTGAATACAAATAGAGAGGATAATATATACAAGGGTGATATTAATGTTTCAAAAAATTATGGGAGTTATGAAATAGATCAAGATACCAGACATGATCATAGAGCAATAATGGAAAGAAATATTAAAATAGGAGAAGAAATATTAAAAGGAAATTTAAAAGACAATATTTATAGAGGTAAAGATGCTTATGAAAAAGCATTAATGATAAAAAAAGATAATTTAGCTAAAAATAAGTTTACGGGGTTATATGGACCTGTAAGAAGTAGCGGAGCAAATGTTAGAATGACTTTAAGAATTGATTATGAACCCTGTATATGTAAAGATTATAAAGAGACAGGATATTGTGGTTTTGGGGATACCTGTATTTATTTGCATGATAGAAGTGACTATAAAAGTGGTTGGAAGATTGAACAAGAATATGAAGAAAAAAGAAAAAGAAATGAAGCTTTAAGAAAAGAAAAATTAGAAAAATGGAATGAAAAAATGTTAAAAAAGTTAAAAGAAAAGGAAAAAACATTAATTAATTTAAATGATAATAATGAAGAAAAAAATGAGAATGAGAATGAGAATAAGAATAATGAAAAATCTATATCATCTTCATCTGTACTGTCGTCTTCCTCAGAGAAAGAAAATTTATCTGATACAAATTCAAGTGATGATGAAAATTTTCTTCCTTTTGCATGTTTAAAATGTAAAAAAAAATGGAAACTAGAAATGAATCCAAGTGTTACTGAATGTTTACATTATTTTTGTGAAAAATGTTTTATTGAAATGTTTCAAAAAAATAAAAAGTGCATTAAATGTGGATTACAATTAAGTGGAATTATGAACGCTGCACAAAATATTATTGATCTCATAATTAAAAAAAAGGTTTCCAACTAAATAAAATTTTTTATATCCCCTTTTTTTTTTTTTTTTTCTTGTTGTTTTTTCATCTATTAATTGCAATATTTTAATTATCTACTAATGTTTACATATATATTTTGAACTTATTTTTAAGATACAAAATATATATATATATATATATATATTAATATTTACCTTAATATAAATCCTTTAAAGTATTTTATTTTTAAAATTTATATTTTTTAATATTATTAAAAATTATTAATATATTTTTTTTAGATTGTAGAAATGTTTTTAAATTTACTATACTTCCTATTAATATAAATTTACATATATAATTTTTATTATAAATTGTACTATTTTATTATATACGAATACACTTAATAGCATAATAATATATATAATATAATTTAATTTTATTTTCTTAATTAAAATATATAGATATTTTTTTCTTTTTTTTTTTAGTTAAATGAATATTCATTTTATTTTTTTTTTAATCAAAATTTAGTATCACGGATTTATTATGAAAATAAAATTCTACATATATATATATATATATATATTTTTTTTATAAATTCCAAAATATAAAACAAAAATTAAAATTAATGTAAAGATAGTTTGTTAATATTTTTTTTTTTATTTTTCACTAAAGTATCTTTACAGTTAAATTTTCATAAATTTATAAAACATTTTATAAATTTTTGTAAAATTTTTTTTTAATTTTAAAAAATAAAAAACAAACATTAAAATAATGTTTAGTGTAATATTTGAAAAAAAAAAAAAAAAAATTAAGATTGTGCGAAGATTTATGCCACAAAAATCTTAAATGATAAAATTAATTTTTATTTAAATATTGTGCTTTTTCATTTTGTGCAATGCTATTATTTCATGATGACGCAAATATATAATTATATGCTTATTTATTTTAAAAATATATAAATTTTATAAAATATATATTATAAAATTTATTTATTTTTTAAATACTTCTTTATGTAAATATTAAACATAATTATATACACATAAATACATATGTATCAATTGTACTTATATTTATAATTAAATATTCAAGGTATATCAAATGTTGCGAAATATTTAGTAAGTCAATCCTTTTTTGAAGATCACTCATACTCGTATTGTGTATAATATATATATATGTGTATTTTTTTAAATATCTTAAAAAGAAATAAAATAAAGCAGAATAAAATAATATAGATTATTAAATAAAATATGATTGTATGGAAAAATAATTATGTTTTTAATAACTTTTTTTGATAAATGTATTTTATGTTTCCTGGCTCTTGGTTCAATTCCCATAGGATTTATAAATAGAAAAAATAAATTCAAAAAAATAGAAAATAACAATTATGCTTTATTCAGCACAATAATTATGAATACTTTTCTTATATATATAAATAAATTTTTCGGTTTATTTGGGATATTCAATTTTTTTTTAGGGAACTATTTATGTTTAATTGGAATAACAGGAGGAATAGCAGTGGGAAAATCAACATTTTGTAATTTTCTAAAAAAAAAAAACGTTGTTGTTATTAATGCAGATGAAATTACAAATAAAATTTATAAAAAGGGATCCACATGTTATAAAAAAATTATAAAACATTTTGGAGAAGATATTTTAAATAACGATAAAACAATTAATAGAACTTTATTAAGAAAAATTGTTTTTAATAATGAAGAAAACGTTAAATATATAAATAAAATTACACATACCTATATAATTTTACAAATTATTAAAGAATGTTTAAAATATAAATTTTTTTATTTTAAATATAATGTAGCTATAGAAGCACCCTTACTAATAGAAACAAAATTATATTTATTAACAAGCCCTGTTATATTGTTAAAATCATCAGTTAGGAATCAAATCAAACGTATATTATCTAGAGATAAAAATTGCACATATGATACTGCCATGAGTATAATAAAGTAATAAAAAAAGTTTTTTTTTTTTTTTTTTTTTGTGAATACATGTCTTTTTTTTTTTTTTGTATGTTTGTAAATTTTTCTAATTATTTATAGATTTTTACCTTTGTTTTTAATTAACGTAAATCTTTAATTTTTAATTTATGTAATTCGTAATTTATTTTAGTTAAAATAATTTTTTTTTTTTTTATTAATACAACGATTGTTTTATCTTTATAAATATAAATCCAATTTTTTTTTATTTTATATCACTATATTTGTTTTTTGTATTCCATAAATATTTGTATATATATATATATATGTACATATATTTTTGTATCTTTTTTTTTTTTTTTTTTTTAAGAAATCAGTTGCCTACAGATGAGAAAATAAAATATGCAGATATTATAATAAACAATGACGGAGATTTGTTAGATTTGCAAATGAAATGTGATGTAGTATATAATAAATATTTAAAAAGTTTTTTCTTTTAATTCGTATATATATATAAATAATTCATGATAATCCAAGGGAAATAAGAGTATTGTTTATTAATTTTTATTTAAAATTATAAAAAATATTTTTTCATTTCATATATAAAACAAGAATTATAAAGATATTTTGTTCCTTTTTTTTTTTATTTTTTTAATTCATTTTATTATGTATGTCATATTAGATTTTAATTTTTAAAGCATTTAATTATATTTTATTTTATTTTTTTTGTATTTTGTTTTAATATTTACCTTAAAAAATTTTTACTAGTAATTTTTTTCTATTTTATACTAAAGTATATAATATAAAAATTTATATTTTTTATTAAATCATTTGAAGTCTTTTTATTTTATAAAAATATTAATTTAATTTTTTCTAAATATTCTGATTTCGAAAAAAAAAAAAAAAAAATTTTTTTTGGCAGATTTTTCTATTTTTTTTTTTATGTGTAAGGTGTTTATAACTTCAATAATTTATCTTGATAAAAAAAAACATTTTTAAAAAATACTCAAATATATAAAAATAATAATATAAAATTAAGCTAAAAAGAAAAAAGTAGTAAAATAAATTTTAATAAAGTAATATAAATATAAAATTATAAAAATGAAGTAAAATAAATAGAAAACATGGCAGAAAAAAACGAAATAAAATAAATTAGAAAAAAATGCTAAAAAAAATATATACATAAATACATTTTAAAAAATTAAGCATAATACATTTTTTTAATATATATAATTATATTAAAAAAAAATATGAAATAATAATAGTATGCTTTTGTTTAAAATATATTCTTAAATATCATATACAAAGGAGTAAAGATAAAATAAGAAATTATTATAATCAATAAATTAATATTCTAAATAAAATTCCATTATTTTATAATGAAACATATGAATAATTTAAAATAAGGATAAACAAAAATTACACATAGATCATTTTACTATATATATCTTATTCTTTATTTTTATAAATTTCTTAAATAACATATCATACATTATTATGGTGTAAAAAAAAAAAAAAAAAAAAAAAAAAAAAAAAAAAAAAATAATTAAAATAAAAATAAAGATGTTTATAAAAAACTGAAAACGTTATGTTATAAACAAATAAAGACATATATAAGTAAATTAAACTTAGTCTAAAAATGATACATGAAATAATCTTAAGTTTGATAGGACAAACAGGAGATATAATTATTTTAGTAGAAAAAAAAAAAAGAACATTAAGTGAAAATAATGTAAATATAGATGAATATGGATTCGAAGTAAATAATAATATTCACATATTTTTGAATTCAGAAATAAAAATAATTAATGAAATAGTAGAACTAGGTTATTATTTTTATATAATAAATTTATTTTGCTTATTAGTCAAAAAAAATACCATTTATAAAAATTTAACTCATATACACAAATTTAATAAATTAAATGAAGAAAAAAAAAAAATTAATATTTCGAATGAAAATTCAGAGAGAGATAACAATACGTCAACTACGGTAAGTTCAACTTCATTTAGTTCATCTTCATATGAATCATCTACCAATGAAAAAAGAGAAGGCAAGTATAACTTGAATACATCTAACAAAAAAAGTAATGTTAAAGATAGAAATGAAGTAGATAATTACTTTGGTGTTATTTTAAAAAATATAAAAAGTTTGAATAATGTAAATCCATATGGATATTATGCAAATGGTTTATGCAATGAAATAAATAAGTTTATAAATAAATATTTAAAAAAAATTAGTGAAATTGAAGAGTATATAAATAATAATAATAATACTCCATTAACGCAAATATTAACAATGTTAGAAAAAAAAAGAGAAGAAATAATTATAATAATAAATATCATAAAGAATTATTTAGAATTTCAGAAAAGAGAAGAACGAAACGTATTGGAAGGGGAAAGTAGAAATAAAACAAAAGAAATTATAGATTATTTGTATGAAAATTGTTTAAGTGGGAATTCAAGAATCAAAAGTATTTATTATAAGTATTTAAAAAATTTAGGAAAAATATTGTTACAGCAAATTTTTTCATGGATACTTTATGGCCAATTAATAGATCCATATTATGAATTTTTTATTCAAAAAAGGCAATTTATTTATTCAGATGATAAAAAAATATTTTTATCACCGGAAGAATTATATGAAAATTTAACTTTGACAAATGTACAAAGTTTAAATTTTGAATGGAACTATTTATTTTTTCAATCAATCTCTAATCTTCCTGAATGTTGTATAGATAAAATTGTAGGAAGAAAAATTCTCTTTATAGGTAAATCAGTACGTATATTAATTAGGAGCAATAAATGGAATACTAATGATATAATCAAATTGTTTTCAATAACAAAAATATTGTCAAAAGCTTTTAATGAAAAACCTAATAGATCTTATAAAAAGAATATTGCTAATGAAAATTATAACATGCATCTTGAAAATCATACAAATGATAAAAGTGACTATACAAGTGTCATATCAGATTCAAGTAGAAGTTCTTCTAATACTTCTTATGAAAAATCTTCTGAATCAGATAAGGGTTCATTAAATTTATACTGCAAAGAAATATTTGATATTACTATTGAAAAAATTAGAAGCATAATAGCTTATAAATTATGGAAATATATAGTTAAGGATATAAATTTAATTAAAATATTTGACTTATTTAAAGATATATATTTATTAAATAATGGAGATTTTTATGATTATTTTTTAGAAAAATCTTGGTCATTAATGCATACCCCTCCAAACTCTAAAAATGAAATTCTTTTAAAAATTTTAGCATGGAAAAATTCTTCCATATTAGTAGAAAATTATTGCAAAACTAAATATGAAAACAAAAAAGATAAATTAAAATTAGATAATTATGAAAATACTCTTTTTGCAGAATATAGTAATAATGAAAATGAATCTAATTTTTTTACTAGTGCAAATACATATATGTTTGATACAGGTAATGCTGAAAATATCATTTCTAAATATTTTTATCCGAGAATATCCCATAAGAAATTTTCTTATGATTCTTTTGAAAAAGAAAAATATGATAATTTAATATTAGGTGGTATGAGTTATATTTATGATAAGAAAATTGTTTTAAATGATTTTTTTAAAGGAATACAAACTCTGTCTAAAAAAAAGTATTATGATTATGATAATATTTTTAGTGTATGTATTAACAACTACAGACAACAAATATTAAGAGGATTTAAACATGGATTTGATTTTTCTGTTAATTTTAATAATTTTTTTGATAATAAATCAATTTACACAGAAAAAAAAGAAACCGATACAAATAAAAATAGTATAAATAATAACACGAATAATTTATTAATGGAAAATGATTTCCTTGTGGGGTCATGTTTTGCTTTGGTTATTCATTCTGTAAAGAATCCATTACTGTATAAAACAGATTTATTAGATAGCTCTTTAGGATATTGGGGATCTTTGGGTGATTGTTTATCTGTTGAAATAAAAGTAAAATTTTATGAAAAAAAAGATGAAAAAAAAAATTTAAAGGAAAATAAGATAAATAGTAATAATGAATACTCAAATAATTTAAATGAAGTAATTTTAGGAGACGTAGAAGTGGAAGTATCTCTATATATAGGAGGAAAAGGAATTTCTTCATTTGTTCATAACAATAACAGCTACTCTGTTGATTACACAAAGGAATCCATTTTAAATAATAAATTGTTAGAAGGTAGCATAAACAAAGAAAAGAAAAAAAGATACGACGATATAGAAAATGAAGAAAATTATTTAAAAAAAAATAAAAATAATATAGATGAAACAAATGAAGATGACATGTTAAATGAATATATGTATCATGATAATAAGAAACAAACAAAACTTCCTGTATTAAAAATTCAGAGTAATAAACAAACTTTTTCTGATATTAACAAAAATACTTTAACTAAATTCCGTGTGAGAATAAACTGCTTAAAGCATTCATTTAGTGTATATATTCAAAAACTAGATGAATATAATATAAACTTCATTAATCAGAAAAATAAGATAAAACCTATTATACACATTAGAGCTTTAGATATGACACAAGCCTTTACCTTAGATATTGGTAATGCATATATAGGATTTTATACATGTCCAATATTATTTAAACATAAGTTACTAAAAAAAAAGAGTAAGTTAAATGAATGGTTTAAAAATTTTTATGCAGAAACATTAAATGTTGAATCTACTGTTTACAAAAAGAATTTTTTTAATATAGAAAATGAAGAAAATAAAGAAATAATACAAAAAGAAATTAATAATATAAATAAAATTATCTTGTATAATAACAATGCCAATGAACTAGATAAAATAAATTATAAAAAAAAAAAAAAAAAACATAAATCAAAAAAATTGTTATTTAGCTCGTATGACTGTTCAGTTGAAATATATAAATGGTTTCATCAATCCTATAAATCTCCTATAGAAATTCCTGAAATTGATATAGATAATGAAACATTAATATTTTATGATAAGCAAATAGATAAAAATATAAAAATTCATAGTGGTTTGAATTTATGGAATAATATTGAAATATATTTTAAACTAACGTGGCCAATAGCTTTAATTATCAATACTAATACTATATATACATATAATTCTATATTTCAATTTTTGTTTCTTTTAGGTAGAATTTATTATAACTTAAAAATTTTGTGTTATCACAATAGGCATTTATATAAATATTTAAATTATAAAAGAGGAACCTTATTATTTTCTTATTTATTTTCTATTAGATATAAAATGCAATTCTTCTTTTTTCATTTAATTAAATATTTACAAGAAGATATTATTAATTATGAATATAAACTAATGACTACACAAATTCATAAATCCAAAGATTTTGAATATACAAAATCTATTCATGATTTATATATTTCTCAAATAGCAACAAAATGTTTTTTACGTGTTCAAAATATAACTACTCCGTTAATTGAGCTAATTGATATAACTTTTAAATTTTGTTATTTTTTTCAATGCTTAATTGAAAACGAGTTATTTACAGATATTTTAAATTATGATATGATTAATGAAAAAGAAGAAAATAAAAGTTTAGAAGAAACTGATAATAAAAATAACGAAAACTATGATGATAAAAATGAAGATTTAAATCAGGTTATTGAAAAATTATTACAATATAATGACACTTTTAATGAAAAACTTATTTGTGTTGTAAACGAAATGATAAATATAAGTTCTAATTCTAATCATGCTTACCTTGTTCATTTTATAACCACATTAGATTTTAATAATTATGTGACTAAGATAAAAGAATCGAGAACAAAAATGAAAAATGAAAATATAGAGAAAACGAAACAAATTCAAGATGACACTATGGATATCAATAAAAATATTCATTTAAATAAAAACAATGATAACAAAATGGAATATGAAGATATAGAAAACATAAATATGAGTGATAACTGTTACTTAGATAAAAAAGAACTATATTCTAACAACCTTTTAAATGACACAAATACTTCAATAAATGACATATCACAAAATATACAAAAGATAAATGAAATAGATAATAATAATAATTTTATTAAAAAAAGAATAGTTAATAATTTTAATAATTTATTGTATAATAATATTGATAATAATAAAAATTTACAAAAAAATAATATAAATGAATACAGTCTCAGTAATATGCCTACACAAGCTAATAAAAATTTTTTGAATAATAATATAAATATAACAAATATAGATTACAACAATAATAATACTTTAAATAATAATTACCTAATTAATAAATACTCAAATATATTGAATAGTTATATGAATAATAGCAATAATAGTAATTCAATTTATAACTTACCAAAAAATTATGCTAATAATTCTAATTTGAATTCATATAATTCTATATTAGATACAGCATATTTAAGAGACACAAATCATATGAATAATACTTCTAATGTTCTACATAATAATATTAGCAATTATAACATTTGTGATTTTGATTTAAAATTAAATATGAATAATAAATTAAATTATGAAAGTAATATATCAAAAAATATCAATAGTACTAACCAAAATATAGATATAGGTAATAATAATAACCTATATGATCAAAATTCAATTAACATTAGAAATAACATCAACAGTGGTGTAACAAATAATTTAAACAATCTTATTGATTTAAATGTTAAAAATAAATTCAATGTGCAAAATTTAATAGATAATTACAATTATAACTATGATAATTCATCTAATAATTATTCTTTTAATAACTGTAGTTTGAATAAATATGATAATACATCTCAATTATATAACACAACTAACTTATCTAATTATAGCAACATACCATTAAATATTTATCAGAATGAAAACAATATAAATGAAATGAATAAGAAAAACAAAAAACATTAAAAAAATAAACATATAAATAAAAAGAACTTTTTACAAGATAATAATAAATAAACCAATATAAATATTTCTTTTATTTTATATTCATTTATTATGCCTACATTAAAATTAAATTTACTATCATTTGCTTTTTTTTTTTTTTTTTTTTTTTTTAGATATACCTATTTAAAAATATAGAAAGTAATATTTATATTAAGATATATATAAGCAGTTATGTTTATGTAAATAAATAAATTTTTTATTTATTATTATTTATGTGTTTAACTTAAACATATTCACTTATAATTAATGTAAAAGATAAAATTGTATATTTAAAAATGACAAATATAAAATATAATTACTATTAAATATTATAAATTTTTTATAAGCCATTTTTTTTTTTTTTTACTCACTTTTTTTTTTTTTTTTTTTTTTTGTAATTCCGATAGTAATACATTTAAAATTTTTCATTTACACATTTATGCTTATCTATACAATGAATATTTTTTAAGATATATATAAGTATTCTTTTTTCTTTTTGTATTTTGTTAAATTATTTGTGAATAATCTTTGTAAATCTTAAAAAAATGTATATATTTTTATTATATATATATAGATATATATATATATATATATCCATTTTGATTGATTTTACACAAAAAAAAGGTTATTGAAATAATTTACATTTCTGTATAAATTTTAATTAAAAATAAAGTAAAATGTTTAATTATCTTAATCTCAACATAAATATAAGAATGCAATTATTTTATTTTATAATATTCTTTTTGAAGTATGATTAATATATAAAAAGAAGTTATAAGTTCGGTTTTCCTTTATAACCAAAATGATATGGTTTTAAATCTTCAATAAATCTTATGATATTTAATAATGATTATTTCTACAAATAAAAAATATTCTTATTTTACGAACTGAAAATTAATTATATTAAAAAACAAATTTTATAAAAAATATTTTTGTAATTATTAAATTTCTTTTTATCTTATGGATACCTTAATATATTTTATATCTACATTTTTATTTTTAATTAAAAAAGAAAAAAAAAAAAAAAAAAAAAAAGAAAAGTAGTAAACTTATAAAATTATTTTTCTTTTATTTAACCTATAAATTTAATTTAAAAAATATAAATATAGCACATGTTATTAATATAAACTTTTTTAATACTGCCGTATTTGATTATTATTTTAATCATTATCATTTATTTTTTGTATATTTTATCTTTACATTATTTAAAGAACAAAAGGAATTTAAGTTTTTTTTTTAAATCTGAAATGCGAAATTATTATTTATTTTTTTTTATTTATGACATAAAATAATTATATGATGTTAAATGTATTAAATTATTTATTGAAAAATTTTGTTTTAAAAAAAAATAACTCTTATACGAGATATAATATATTAGAAAGAAGATATTCTAAAATTACTAGTGTTAACATAAATAATTGGAATAACATTCATAAAGAAATAATAGATAAGATTAATGATTGTGATTTCGTCTCTATTGATGTTGAATATACAGGATTACATTTAAAAGATGAAAGATACATTTCTATTGATTCAAGTTATGAAGCGCATTGTTATGGTGCAAAGTCATTCTTTCCATGTCAAATAGGAATAACAATTGCAAAAAAAAATGACATAATAGAAAAGATAAATAATCCCAAAGAAAATAAAATAACAAAAAAAAATCTACATAATATAAAAGTTATAAATAATATAGAAGAGAAAAACAAAGGAAATGACATAAATAATTATCAGGAGTGGAATATATCTCCTTATTGTATTTATGTTTTTCCAAAAGAAAATAAATATTTTAGTGTATCAACTACTACATTAATTTTTTTAAAAGAAAATAATTTTGATTTTAACGAGTGGATATTTAATGGTGTAAGTTACTTAAGACCAAATGAAGAAGAAGAAAAAAAAAAAAGTGTTATTGAAAAAATAAATGAATTAAAAAGCTTATTGAACAAATGTAATACAAAAACCAGTAATTATGAAGAAAAGATTGATATAAATAAAGTTATTAATGAAATAGAAAATAATAAAATTGTTGATGAAGAAGATAAAGATGCAGTTATTGAAATAATAAAGAAAATTGGTATATGGCTAAATAGTAGTAGCAGTTTAAACATAAAAAATAATTGCCCTAATGAAATAGATAAAAAAAATAATATCAAAATAGAATCCATAAATTATAAAAATATGCAGGATTCAGGTAAATCAAAGGATGAGAAAGAACTATCTTCAAATGTTAGAAATACTGATATTGAAATAAATGAACTTAAAAATTATGACCCTTACAACATAAACGAAAATTGCACTTCTTCATATGACAAAAGTTTGGAAGAAAATTTTGCTTATAAAAATATTATGAGCAATAAGATCAATAAAGATGACAAGAATAACGGTAACAATTCTAATAATGATGATAACAGTTCATTTTGCTATAATCAAGATATCATTAACTACGATAAAGAGAATGATAAATTCGATGAAGATAAAACTAATGATATCTCTAATTATCCTTTATACATAGAAGTAGAAAATCCATATCTTCGACTACTTGCACATACGTTAATAACTAAATATTTTAATTCAATTTTTTGTATATCAATTAAAGTTAACGATAAAAAGCATTTAGCAATTTATAGAACAGAAAAAGATTCGTACAAAGAACAAATAAAAGCTTTTGAGTTAGAAATAGAGAAGATAAATAAAATTATAGGTGTAAGATTATTATTTGATGAAATTATAAAAAATAGGAAAATAATCATAGGTCATAATTGCTTTTATGATATTCTACACATATATCAGACATTTTATCATGACCTACCAAAATCTATTAATGAATTTAAAAAAAAATGGACTCAATTATTTCCATATACATTTGACACGAAATTTATAAATGAAACTAATGAATATTTATATGCATTAAATGGACCAGCAACATTAAAAGGTTTATGTGAGTATATGGCTTCTTTAATTTCTTCAAGTAATGATTTTGATTTTTTTTTTAATTTTATGAATGATTATTTTGATCTCCCAAAATGTTTTGTTCCATTTATAAATGTAAAAAATAAAGTAATTTTTAATCAAAAAATAAATAGTAATAATAATCTCATAGAAGAAGAATATGTTAAAGAAAAGAAAAAAAGTAATGATGAAAATAACAATGAAGAATACGTAAGTATAGAAGAAAAATATAATAATAATTACTCTAATAGAAACACATGTTCTTTTATAAATAACTCAGATGAAAGGAATATTCTAAGTAGTGATGAACATAATGCTGGTTACGATAGTCTTTTAACTTGTTTACTTTTTATATTTCAATGTCATTATATTTTAAAAAAAAACAATATAATGTGGAAAGATATATATTTTTACAAAAAAAATAAAATAAATGAAAATTTAAAATGTTTTTTTGATATTTTTTTAAGTATGTCTAATAAAATAAAAATTGTAAAAACACAACCGAATGTTGTCTCTCTAACTAGTACAGAAAATTATGAAATGGCAAGACACTTTTATATGTATGATTATCCAAGTTATTTTAAAAAATGGGAAATAATGAAAATATGGTCACCAATATGGATAACATTAAGTAAGGTAGATGATCAATCGTGCTGGATAATAGCAAAAAGTGATGATGATGCTAAAAATATAAAAATGATTTACAAAATGTTAAAAAATCCTCAGTTTAAATTGTGTACATATGAAGAATATTTAAATAAATTTAAATCAAAATAATTAAAATTAAATTAAAAGATAAGAAAAATATAAATATACTTATGGTATATGTAAATTAAAAAAAAAAAAAAAAAACAGAAGACAAAATAATGAAATATACAATAATTAATTTTTTTTTATATTTCTTTTTAAATTATACTAAACCATCTTACAAATTTTAATAATTTTTTAAAAAATATTTTATTTTGTTTTATTTTATTTCAAAAAAGCTAATTTGTATTATTTTTTTTTTAATAAAATACAACAGATTCTTAAACTATGTTGATTTGTTATATTAGTAAATTGATATATATATATATATATATATTGATAACAAAAAAAATTTTTTTTTTTTAATTATAATTATTCTAGTATATTTATTACATAAATTATTATTCATGTTTATATTTTTATTTGAGAAATAATCTTCATAAATAAATATATTTGCTTGGAATATCTATTTTAAAAAAAAATATATTGTTTTAATTAATAAATTATTTGCTTTTTTATTTAATTATTTATGAAAAATAAATTACACAAAAAAAACTTTAAAAAGATAATTATTAATGAATTAAAGAAAATTAACGTAAATTAATGGAGAATAAAAATACATATATTATTAGTATGTAGAATTAATATTAAAATATACACTAATAATATCCTAAAAGTATATCAATTATTGGAAAATTTTATTACATCTAAAAAATAAAAAGGATAACATTTTTTAATTATATTCATTCAAATATAATTAAATATTTTATATTGTTTTTAAATATATAAAATATTTTTTCATAAAAAAAAAATACGAATTTTTATTTATGTAGATTAATTTTATTTGTATATATTATACCAAATATTTCTTAAGTATCCAAAAATTTTAAAATGTAATTTTTGTATGATTTTAAAAAAAATTATAAACAATCCAATTTTTTTTTTTTTTTTTTTTTTTTTTTTNNTAATTTAAATTAGAAATTATGATTTCTATAATCTACAGAAATGTAATTATTTTTTTTTTTTTATTTTTAAACGATTATTACATTTTTAAAAATTTAATAAAATAAAAAATAAATTTATCGATAATGAAAGAATTAAAATAATAAAGTAAAAACATTAACAGTAAAAAAACTTTGATACAAAAAAAAAAAAAAAAAAAAAAAAACTCTCCATATATATTAAAGATAAAAATATAAGTAAAAGAATTTTGGATATTCAAATAAATAAAACAAAATAAAATGCTTTTTTTTTTTGTATAAAATTTGTTTTTGTTTTTTTTGAAATATGATGAAACATGAATGATAGCGATACTAAAAAGTTTAGAGATATAAGCGAGAGAATAAAAGGAAAGTATATACCAGTTATAAAATTTGGTGGAACAAATAAGTACATCAATAATGATTACAAAAATTATAATGGTATGCCTAAAAAGAAATAAAAAAAAAAAAAAATAAATAAAATAATAGAAAAATGAAATTGAAACTATATTTTTTAAAATTCATATATATAAATATAAGTTTATAAAAATTTACATAAAAGTAAACCTTTAAAAATATATATATATATATATGTACATAGAGATGTTATTTAATGTTTATATAATATAATAAAAAATATAGTTAAAATATTTTAATAAATAATAAAACTTTTATACAGAAGAAACAAATAATGTAAACTATGTTAGAGATGACTTCAATAAAAGTAATATTGATATTTATCATGATAATAAATATGGTATTAATAGAGTTTGTTTTTCTCCACAAGGAAAATATATAGCAGGGTGTGGATCTAATGGTAATATTTATTTATATGACTTATACGAAAATAAACTATTAACAAAAATATGTACTCAAATTGATAATATAAAAGATTTAGCAATAAGTGATAATGATAAATATATATATGCATGTGGTGATAATAGAATAATAGAAATATTTGATATATATGAGAACAAAAAAGTATGTAATAATAATATTTCAAAATATATTGATGTTTCAATACCAAATATAATTAAAAAGAAAAAGTATAAAAATGCAAACTGTCTTAATAACAATATTATGGAAACAAATAGTGCTTTAAATGATAATACTCTAGAAAATATTTATGCGCCATATAAAACTAAGCATATTGATTTTACAAATAATAAATTAATTTATGTTCCAATATATAATTACAATGATCTAATAAAAAATAATATAAATATGATAGATCTAAATTGCATTAAAATAAATAATTTAAATGAAATTATAAATAAATCAGTATTTCTCATTAAAGATTCTCATGAATATATAACTTCATGTTTATCAGTTCCAAATATAAGTAATTTCTTAATTTATTCTGGAGGAGGAGATGGAGTATTAAAAATATGGGATATTAGAATGAACCTATTCAATATGAATCAAAGTAACTACAATAAAACTAGTTCTGAAGTGTTGTTTCTAGATAACAAGAATCCTTATGCATCTATATGTTCCCATGAAGATACTATAACAAGCATAAGTTTCAATAAAACTATAGATCATGAAAACTACCTTAAATTAAAAAAAGAAAAAAAAAGAAAAAAAAAAAAAAGAGATGATACATATAGTATAAAACATAGAAAAGAAACAAAAGAAAACAACTGTACTGATGAAAATAAAAATAATTCTTTTTCTTCTTCATGCTCATCTATTTCTTATTCTTCCCTAAATTTTGATCTTTCAAAAGATAAATTTAATAACATTTTTATGACTAGTGGATATGATGGGTATATTAGATTATATGATATGAATAATAATATAATTAAATCATTCAGTGATGAAGAGAAAAGTATTACACATTGTATGTTTTGTCATAATAATAAATATATCATTAGTACAAATAAATCTAAATATTCTAAGATTTTTGATTTTATATATATGAATAATAAAAAGAGTGCTAAAAATATGAAAACATATTTAAAAAATTATAGAAACTATTATTTAAATAATTTAGAAAATGATAATAAAACAGAAAATAAAACATATAATGAAAATATCCATGAAGACAATTTTTTTAATGAAGCATATAATGATAATGAATTGATATCTTGTAACATTAGAAATTTATATGAAAATGAAGATTTAGAAGAACAAATTAAAATTGTAAACGAATTAAATAAAAAAATAAGTAATGATGAAAATAAAAACATTAATAATAATTATTCAAATGAAGGGATGAATGATTCTGAATATAGTTGTTCCAATAGTGATTCAAGCATATATGACGAAAACATAATAAGAACTAACACATTTTATGAACATGTTAATAAAAAATTAGAACCTACATGGTCTCTATTTATAGATAATTTTAAATATATGAATCTTGTTCCCTTTGAAGAACTAAATGAAAGTTTAAAAAAAAATCATAATTGTGTTAAAAAGCATTATCAGAATTTAAATTTTAATGATTATATAAGTAACGAAAAAGAAAACAATAAGACAAATATAGATAATAAAAACATTCTATATTATCATTTATCAGAAATTATATATAATGATACTCATATCCCAAAGTTTTATTCTTGCATTGCAGGAGATAAATGTATAATTCCTTCTATTGATACTTATGCACATGTATATGATATATATACAGGTTTTCATGTAAATTCTATAAGTAATCTTTACTTACCAAATTATTATATTGATAATTCTCAATTTTACTATAATGAAACAAATCAAAAAATATTTAAAAAAAATATTTCTTTTTTAACTAGTGTTGACACATATCCTAAAAATCAAAACATTATTGCAACTTCAAATGGATGGCCAGATGGATCTATTGTTTTATGGATTTTTGTACCATTTTGATTAAAATAAAAAATTAATACTTTCACTCTTTTCATAAATACATATCAGAATAAAAAAAAAAAAAAAAAATTCCTTTAATAAAAGTATATAAATATATTTTATTTTTACTAACTTTTTTTTTTTTTTTTTTTTTTTTTTTTTTGTTGTTGTATGTGTCTATTTTTTAATTTTCTTTCAAAAAAATACACTTAAAAACGAAAAACAAAAATGAATTTAAATTATTATAAAAAAAAAATAATTTTATAAACTATATAATTAAAAGCATATAAAAAAGTGATACAAGCCAATTAAATAATACAAATTAATAGGAATTCATTGACTTTTAATTTAGCTAGCTTTGTCATCAATATTTTCTTCTAATTTTTCTTCATAATCATAATAATTAACTGGTGTTCCTCCAGGAACCATTATTGTTATATTTAAACCATTTAATAATAATTTTTTTATTTTATTTACTTTTTTAACATTATTTACATATGTATATTCAGTTACGTCTTCTAATACCTATATATTTAAAATTTTACAAAAATTAAAAAAAAAAAAAAATAATAAATTATTAATTTATTAAATTTCTTTTTTCAAATTACCATATTAACATATTCATCAAAGCCAACTAATTTTCCAACAATTTCTTTATCACCTTTCATCATTATCCATATCTTACTTCCTAAAAAAAAAATTATATCAAGATAATTTATAAAATAAGGAAACGTTAATATATTATACTATAAAAATTTTTAAAAAATAATTTATTTTCTTTTATCTTTTTAAAATAATATAATAAATAAGTAAAAATAAACAAAATAAATTAAATTTCTTTTTATATTGTCATATTTACCAATACATTTATCCATTAAAGCAAGTGGTAAAAATGTCTCTGAACTACTTATTGTAGCCATTCTTATTAAATTACGTAACTTTTAGAAAATTTCATTTAATAATATATATATATATATATATTTATATATACTATTTTTTAGAGTTTTTATTATAGCATATATAAAAATAATATTAAAATGATAATATTTTAATTTATGAAGTATATTTTCATTTTTTTTATTTTATTTTATTTTATTTTGTTTTATTTTATTATTTTTTTTTTTTTTTTGTCATATATTTATTTTCTATTTTAATTTTACTTACGTATTTTTTTTTTTAAATCTGAGTTAACTTTAAAATAATAATATTTAAAATAAAAAATAAAGTTAATATAAATTAATTAAAAAAAAAAATAATAAATAAATAGTAAAAAATATATTATCACAACAATTTTATAATAAATTCAATAAAAAAGAAGTAAAACTTATAAATATGATATTAAAACATGCATATATAATATTCAAAAGAAAAATAAAAAAAATACACCTGTAATTCTAAATAATAATAAATAAAACTTAATAAAATAATAAAAATATTGGAAAAAAAAATAATATAAAAAATTTTAACAAAAGTAAAAATTCAAAAAAAAAAAAAAAAATAATAATAAAATGAATGTATGTAATGCTTCATCAATTATCACAGTTCATAATATCTTTAGCAAAACATTTTAGAGAACGAGGCAATTTTTGAAAATTATTTTCTTGTTTTTCAATAAAAAGTCTAACAAAATATTTTGCGTATATTAAATTTAAAGTGCTTATATAATTTCTTTTCTTTTTTAAAGTTTCAAGGGATTTATAATAAACATCATAATTAGTATAGTTTAATTGTAGGCAACAAAATGGAACTTGTGTTAATACATGAAGAGAACAAGTTTCAATATGCTCTAAATACTTTTTTACTAATAAATCAGTAATATCCTTTTCATATTCTTCAGATATATTATATATATCTATTTTGTTTTCTTTTAGTTCATCTATTTTTTGCTTTAATCCATTTTGTGACAGTTCATCTTTATTGTCATTTTTCTCATATATTTCCTCTTCTATCTCTTCGGAGTTTTTTTCTTTGTAGTAATTGTTTTTATCGCTTATTTCCTTATTATATTCATTTTCTGTAGAAACAGCATTCTCCAAATTATTATTATTTATATCGCCTATTTCTTTATTATATTCATTTTCTGTAGAAACAACATTCTCCAAATTATTATTATTTAGATTGTTATCTATTTTAGTGGATTTTTTAAATTGATCCGTTGATTTGTTGTTTATATCATTTTTTAAATTGTTTTCCTTCAAATTGCAATTCTGATCCGTTTTATTAACTAAGTTTTTCCTTCTTCTCATGGCATCTAAAATTTGAGCAATTGACATCATATCTAATGAGTCAATAATTTTTTTAATTTTTTTAAAAGAAACTAAATAAAAATAATTATCACTAATTTTTAGCTTAGATAATGACCATATAATGTTACTAAATTCTCTTTGGGGAATATCATCAATTATTTCAATCACCTTATTCTTTAAATTCATTAAAAAGTGTTTATTTTTATAATTAAATTTTGCCATATAATGAACCGCATTCGTAATATTCACATATGATAAATGATTAATAAAATTATCATTATTCATATATTTAATGATATATTTCATAATGTTAATGTGTATATTACATTTAGCAAAGGAATTTAGTAATAATGTAAAATGATGTGGTTCTAAATCTTTTTCCTTTAAATTTTTAAAATATTTTTTAGTAAAAAATTTAAAAATTTCATAATTGCAAATATTTACTCGGCTTAACATATTTAATATTAAAACAGAATTGACAACACTTAAATTATTATGAATATATTCATCATTTTTTATTTTATTCAAAATTAATGTAAATATATCATTATTATCAGAAGAATTTAATGAATCTTTACAAATAATATTATTAGAGTTTTCATTAGTGTATGAATTTGTAGATTTCTTTAATAACTCTTCCTGTAATATGGTAAAAGAACTTAAAATAATTGTTAAATCTAAGTTATTAAATTTATCAATATTTTTAATAAAATGATCTTTTATTATATTAATACTTTTGTAATCTCTTAATCCAGATTTTACTAAATCTATAAAAAAAAAAAAAAATAAAATAAAAAACATTAAAACCAAGTTACAATCGCTTGTATGAAGAATACATTTAAAAATTAAATGAAATCAAAAACAAAATTTGTTTCATCTAATTAATATGATTTATAGATATAATATTTTTTTTTTTTTTTGAATATTATTACTGTGAAAAATATTAACAATTATAGATGGAGTTATTGCATCTAATCTTTTTATTATATAATTAAAAACTGATATATTAAATTGAATGTCTTTAATTTGAGATATATTGTATAATCTCAAAATTTTATTAATTTGATCAAATGAATATCTATGTATATTGTTTTTAAAAGCGTCATAACTACATTTTAATATATTATCGTCTTTGTAATTTTTTTCATTGTATTTTTCTATAATTTTAAGAACCTCTTCATTTTCAAATTTATCTATATTTTTTATAATTAATGATTTTAAGTTATCTTTAAATATTTTTGATTCTAAACTATTCCTTTTTACTTTTAGGTCCATAATAGCAGTATTTAAAAGTTTCCTCATTTTTCATATATATTTTTCATTTACTTTTTGTTTTACATTATCTTTTTTTTTTTTTTTTTATTAACATTTTTCTTACATTGCTTTAAATAAGATCAACTTATATCTAATAAACTTATATGTAATAAATCTTTATTTTATTTAAATTTTTTTTTTTTTTTTTTTATGAGAACCATAGCATTTTAACTTTTTTTTTTTTATAATTTAGTAAAAAAAAGAATAAAATAAAATATTAAACAATTTTTTTATATTTTTAATTTTTTTTTTTATCTATAATGCATATATTGTTTAATATTTCATTTGATAAGAATCGTTTGATATAATTAAAAAAAAATAAAATATGTATAAACATATTTTGTTTTAATGAAAAACATCCCTATTTAGGAAATTTTAAATTCAGAAGAAAAATTTAATTGAATTTACTTCTTAATTTTGAATATTTTTAATTGTATTAATTTGACGTTTTTTTTAATTTCTCCATTATTCATTTTATTTCCTTTATTTTAAATTACACTCGTTTGGGTTATTTTAAATATGTAATTTGATATTTTTTTAAATTTTTATAAAACATATATTTGTATAATAATAAAAATTAAAAGATTATGAATCTTATTTAATTTTTAAGAAAATTTGCATATACATATATCTGTTTATTTTGTGATGATAGATAATAATTAACTTTTTTTTTTGTTTCCTAAATATTCTCATATCTTTAGATTCTATAATAAAAATATTTAAAATGTTAAACGAATAAAATTAATAATATATAAAATAATAGGCTTTTGAAAATATACACATTTTCATAATTTTTTCGTATATATATTTATTAAGAGAATGAAGTAAAATTAAATAAAAAAGATAAGCTAACATAAATGTCAGAAGTTTAAAAAATATATTTTTATTTTTAATATTTTTATTTTTATTTAAATTGTAAATTTTTTTTCATGAATATAAAATTTTTTTCTAATGAAAAAGCAAAATATTGAAAATTGCACACTCCATAAATATTTTAAAAAAAAATTTTTTTTTTTTTTATTTTTTATATTTTTTTTTAAGGAACATTTGAATACATAAAACTAAAAATAATAAAATTTAATTTGTTATAGTTTAAAGATAAATATTTTGCATATTTTAATTTAAATTTATTTTTACTTTTTTTTTTTTAAAGAAATTATTTTCATTTAAAAAAAAAAAAAAAAAAAAAAAAAAAAAATCATTTGGATATTTTTTTTACATGGAATTCCATTAATTTTTATTTAAAAACGATAATGCCTTAATGCATTAGATCATATAAAAATACAAAAATGTTTAATGTTTTTTCAGCAGCATTTTTAGATAATTCAAATAATCTTAAAAACATTAGTAAACCTATTAATAATAACTTGAACAAAAATAATAATATTTTAACAAGATCCATATCTGCAAATGCAAGTAATGAAAATGACAGAATAAAAAATTTGCCATTAAAAGACAGATTGGCTACAGTAAGAAATGTACAAAACATATTAAATAAAAAAAATATAAACAAGACGGATAATAATGAAGATAAAAATATTAATAGCATTCATTTAAAAAATAATATAGGAAACGAACCTAATAAGCCTCTATCAATTAATGAAAATAATTTGAATAAATTTAAAAATTATTCTAGTGTTGTTAATGAAAAACACAATGAAGAAGAGCTAGAAAAAAAATTAAAAAAAAGAAAAAGAAGAAAGAAGCATGAAATATTAATGGAAAGGATGAAACAGAGAGAAATGGAAAAAAAAAAACAGAAAGAAAATGAGGAAGAACAAAATAACAACGAAGAAGAGGAATATGATGAAGAGGGAGAAGGAAGTGAAGAAGAGAACGATGATGATAATAAGTCTCAAAAATATAATAGACAATCAAAAAATAAATATGAGCAACATTTACGAGAAGAGGAGAAAGAACATGAAGAGGAGGATGAGAATGAAGAAGAAACATATAATAATAATAATAATAGTAATAATAATAAAAATAAGCATGAGGAAAAAAGTTTTAATAAATCATCCTATAATGATACGACTGCTACTATTACTACCTCTAATAATAATAATAATGCAAATATAAATAATGATCCTAGAATAAAACCAAAAAGAAAGAGAAGAAAAAAAAAAGAGATGGAAGAGTATAGAGCACGTTTATTAAGAGAAAAAATGCAACAGCAAAATTCAATAAATAATGTTATAACGAAAACAAATAGCTTTCATAATAAAAATGAAAATAATACACAAGAAGAAAATAAAGTAAAAAGAAGAAGAGGAAGACCTAAAGCAAGTGAAGTGGCGTCTATAAATAATATGAATGATAAATTAAAACAAAATGATATAAGAAAATATTATAGTAGAAATAGTGATAATCAAATATCAAGAAAAGGTAGTATAAATGAAAAAAATAAAGGAGAATATGAAGAAGAAAATAAAAGTGTTTTTAAAATAATTAAAACTTCTATACAAGAAAATACTTCTTTTATGAAAAAGTCACCAAATGAAATTATACAATTAGAAAAAAACTTTAAAAACAATATAAAAAATGGTGTAACATGTATACCTTTAAACTACCAAAGTAAAGGGGGAGGAATGGCAATTATTTTAATTGATACTGAAACAACATATGGTCCCGTAAAAAATTCATATGGATTTATGACTTTTCTTGTTTTAGATTGTCATTCAAATAACTTTTTTATTGATACAGGAATAAAAAATAATGTTATTGAATGTGAAAAACATATGCAATTGTTAATTAGCCCAGGTGATATTTATATGTTTAAAAATCAAAGTCAAGAAATTGAAGCTAGATTATTGTTAATTGTATGTAATAAAATGAAACAACCATTTGACGCAAAATTACACATAAAAGACCCAGAATTTAACAACGATAAATAAATGTGAATCATTTATGAAGATATATATATATATATGTTTTATTATAACAATTTTTAAATTTATTATTGGAGTGTTTTTAACATAAAATATTGATGTTTATATAAAAAAAAAAAAATAAATTGTAATTCAATTGAAAAAATGAAAATTATCATTTATAACAAGTCTTTTTTTTTTTTAATAAAAAAAAAAAAAAAATCATTGTATTTACACAGTCATAAATAATTATAATGAAAAGCTGAACTTTAGTAAAGTATTTAAGTATAATATTTTAAATATATCTATATTTTTAGTTTAAGGAGAGTTATTTTAAATATTTTTGACGTAGATAATATAGTTGTTTAATATACATATAAATAAATTTTTATCATATTTTTTTGTGATTTAATTTGAAAATTATTTTCTTTTATTTATTTATATAGCAATATATTATAAATAATATATATATATATATATTAAATATTGTATTAAAGTTTTTTCTCTCATTCTTTTTTAGAGTTATTAAGAAAAATTATCTTAGCAGGTATATTGCAAAAAATTTAATAAAAAAATTTTTGATCTCTTTTATTCTTTGTTATATCTTTTATATATTAAATTATATTAAATATGTATTACGCTGACAATTTTGTTTTTTAAACAATTAAAAAATAGCTTAAATAAACATGTACTTATATATACGTGTATTTATGTATTTTTTTTTTTTTTTTTTTTTTTTTATGTGTAAAATTATTTTTGTATAAAATTTAACTATTTTAAAAAAGTTTTTTCATCAATCTTAAAATGCATAATAATTATGTTATAAGGTATTTTTTCAAACTTTATTTTTTAAATTTTTTATAAT